GGAATCCAGCAGGCCTTGCCTGGTTCCTATCTGCTTCCAGGATCTCAGGGCTTGGATGATTCCCACCTTCAGGGAGCTATTAGTCAGAAAGGAAAACTTAAAAGGGAGAGGACCCAGCAGACTCTTAAGGCCAAAAAACCAGGGGCAAGGTATGGATGAGTCGGGATTGTGGACAAAGGAGCAGCAGGGTGGGGCACAGAAAGAACTGGAGCCAGGCAGTGGCTCATGCCTATAATCCCAGCACTATGAGAGGCAGGCGGATCACTTGAGGTCAGGAATTCAAGACCAGCCTGGCCAACATGGTGAAACCCCGTCTCTACTAAAAATACAAAAATTAGCCGGGCATGGTGGCGGGTGCCTGTAATCCCAGCTAGGCAGGAGGCTGAGGCAGGGAGAATTGCTTGAACCCAGGAGACGGAGGTTGCAGTGAGCTGAGATGGCACCGCTGCACTCCAGTCTGGGCAACAGAGCAAGACTCCATCTCAAAAAAAAAAGAAGGAACAAGGAACAGGACCAGGAATGAAACCCTGGTGTCCTGCCACCATTTCCCATGTGACTGGGCAAGGGCATTCCTGATAACCTGCAGCCTACTGCATGCCCAGCCCTGTGCTGCATGTGACCCTGGCCCTGTGATGGGGAATGGGGTCATCTGACTAGGGGTGGGGATGGGGAAGTGGGGTGGGTTCAGACATCTACTTTTTATTATTTATCATTATTTTTCCTTTCTTTCTTTCTTTCTTTCTTTTTTTGTTGTTTTTGAGCCAGGGTCTCGCTTTGTTGCTCAGGCTGGAGTGCAGTGGTACAATCTCAGCTCACTGCAACCTCCGTCTCCTGGGTTCAAGCAGTTCTCCCTGCCTCAGCCTCCTGGGTAGCTGGGACTGCAGTTCCATGCCGGCTAACTTTTGGATTTTTAGTAGAGACGGGGTTTTGCCATGTTGCCCAGGCTGGTCTCGAATTCATGGGGTCAAGTGATCTGTCTGCCTCAGCTTCCCAAAGTTCTGGGATAAAGGCATGAACCACCACACCCGGCCTATTTTTCCTTCTTGGTTTAGTTTATTATGTTGTTTTTCACCCTTTCACTTTTTTTTTTTTTTTTTTTTAAGATAAGAGTCTCGCTCTGTCACCTAGGCTGGAGTGCAGTGGTGCAATTTCGGTTTACTGCAGCCTCCTGCTTCAAGCTCCCAAGTAGCTGGTAGCTGGGATTACAGGTGCCTGCTACCACACCTGGCCAATTTTTGTTTTTTGTTTTTTTTTTGAGACGGAGTTTCGCTGTTGTTACCCAGACTGGAGTGCAATGGCATGATCTCGGCTCACCGCAACCTCTGCCTGCTGGGTTCAAGCAATTCTCCTGCTTCAGCCTCCTGAGTAACTGGGACTACAGGCGTGCACCACTATGCCCAGCTAATTTTTGTATTTTTAGTAGAGACGGGGTTTCACCGTGTTGACCAGGATGGTCTCGATCTCTTGACCTCGTGATCCACATACCTCAGCCTCCCAAAGTTCTGGGATAATAGGTGTGAGCCACCACACCCGGCCCAATTTTTGTATTTTTAATAGAGACTTGGGTTTCACCATGTTGGCCAGGCTGGTCTTGAACTTCTGATCTCAGGTGATCCACCCATCTTGGCCTCCCAGAGTGCTGAGGTTACAGGCATGAGCCACCGTGCCCATCCAGGATGATGTTTATATTGTAGTTTAGACCTTGAGCTCTGGAGTTAGCTGATCTTTGATTCTAAGTTCTGACTGGGTGTGGTGGCTCATGCCTATGGCACTTGGGGAGGCCAAGGTGGAAAACTGCTTGAGCCCAAGAGTTCAAGACAGGCCTAGGCAACATAGTGAGACCTCATCTGTACACAAAAATGTAAAAAATAGCTGGGCATGGTGGTACACACCTGTGGTTTCAGCTCCTCAGAAGACAGATAGGCTGGAAATGGTGGCTCACACCTGTAATCCTAGCACTTTGGGAGGCTGAGGCTGGTGGATCCCTTGAGGTCAGGAGTTCAAGACCAGCCTTACCAACGTGGTGAAACACCATCTCTACTAAAAATACAAAAATTAGGCGGGGTGCAGTGGCTCATGCCTGTAATCTCAACACTTTGGGAGGCTGAGGAGGGCGGATCAGCCTGGCCAACATGACAAAACCCCATTTCTACTAAAAATACAAAAATTAGCTGGGCATGGTAGCGTGCGCCTGTAGTCCCAGATACTTGGGAGGCTGAGGCAAGCTAATCGCTTGAACCTGGGAGGCAGAGGTTGCAGTGAGCCAAGATCGCGTCACTGTACGACAGCCTGGGTGACAGAATAAGATTCCGTCTTAAAGAAAAAAAGGCAGCTCAGATGGGAGGATCACCTGAGCCCGGGAGATTGAGGCTGCAGCCAGGTGGTGAGATTGCATCACTGTACTCCAGCCTTGGGGGACAATGAGATGTCTCAGAAAAAAACAAAAAACAAAATACATGCTCACAGAGAATTCTGCCACAACGCTGTAAATGAGGGCAATTACTTAGCCATTCTCTCCCTCAGTTTCCTAGTCTTTAACATGAAATTAAGATAGGAGATAAAAGAATCAAATAAGTTATTTGTAGAGTACTTGAGTATTGACCGCTGTTGTGATTATCATTTTCTGTCTATTATGTTCATGTTGGTTATGACTTTATTTGGATGTCTGACCCCTTTCCCATGAGCCATTCCTGGGGAGCTCAGTGTCACCTCTGTGTTCCAGCCCTCAACCCAGGGCCAGCATGCAGGACCGCAGTGAATGTCAGAGACAAGTTTTTGCAAACGTTCCACGTGTGCTGGGGATGTGAACGTGGATTATTTCATTGTTAGGGGCATTTGACCAAGGGTGTAGATTGTGTGGTTCAGGTTCTTACTAATTTTATTTTCTCAAGCATATCTTTTCTTAGAAATATGTTAAGCTTTCTAATACCAATTGTGGATTTAACAAACTTTCCCTTGTCATTTTTTTCTTTTCTTTTTTTTTTTTATAAAGACGGGGTTTCACCGTGTTGGTCAGGCTGGTCTTGAACTCCTGACCTCAGGTGATCCGCCCTCCTTGGCCTCCAAAGTGCTTGGATTACAGGCGTGAGCCACCACACCTGGCCCCCCTTGTCATTTTGTAAGTTTATGGCTGTCATGTGCAGAGATGTCTGTTTTTTGCCGTATATATTTGGAGACCATAGTATTTGGATCATGTATGTTGAGAACTTTTCTGTTTTTTTTGAGACGGAGTTTCACTCTTGTTACCCCGGCTGGAGTGCAATGGCGCGATCTCGGCTCACCGCAACCTCCGCCTCCTGGGTTCAGGCAATTCTCCTGCCTCAGCCTCCTGAGTAGCTGGGATTATAGGCACGCGCCACCATGCCCAGCTAATTTTTTGTATTTTTAGTAGAGACAGGGTTTCACCATGTTGACCAGGATGGTCTCGATTTCTTGACCTCCTGATCCACCCGCCTCGGCCTTTCAAAGTGCTGGGATTACAGGCGTGAGCCACTGCGCCCGGCCGAACTTTTCTGTTTAATGGGTCATTTTGTTTTGTCATCCTTTGCTTTTGTCAGTTTATTTTTTATTTGTTTATTTATTTTTAATTTAATTTTGAGAGTCTCATGCTGTCATCCAGAGTGGAGTGCAGTGGCTGGATCTCAGCTCACTGCAGCCTGTACCTCCTGGGCTTATGCAGTCCTCCCACCTCAGCCTCCTGAGTACCTGGGACTACAGACGCACCACCACACCCAGCTAATTTTTGTATTTTTTGTAGTGATGGGGTTTCACCATGTTGCCCAGGCTGTTGTTCTCAGACTCCTGAGCTCAAGCGATCTTTCCACCTTGGCCTCCCAAAGTGCTGGGGAGCCACTGCACCCTGCCCAGTTTTTTTTTTCTTTTAAAGGGGTAATGTTACTCCTCTACTTATCTCTTAGTTCATGTTTTCCCAGCCAGTTTTTTTGCCATCTTTTGATTTTGCATATTTTTGGTTCACAGTGTATTACAAGGAATGGATTTTCATGGAGTAGTTGCTAAAAGCTGACCTAGTGTAGGGCGTTGTGCTGGGCTCAGTGTAAAATATCTCAGTTAAAAGATCCTGCCTCCAGAGGAGGATCACAGTGAGGGAGAGAGACCCACCCCCAGACAATGATGACCCAGAATGGGCAGGGAAGAGGGAACCCAGAGGTCCCCTCTGGGCAGATGGGTGGTTTCCAGGAAGGGAATGGGGAAGGCCTCTCTACTAAAACTGCATTAGAACACAGACCTGAATGAAGTAAGGAATTGAGCCATGTAGAGCGGGAATGTATTGCAGTTGGTGGGAACAGCAAATGCAGAGACCAGGGAAAGCAAGAGCCGGGTGACTCTGAGGAGGAGATAGCAATGAGTGCACCGCTTGGATGTCCTGGGTGGAGCCTGACCCAGCCTACTGGGTTTGGGGGTGTCAGCTTCCTGGAGGAGGGGTGATCGAGTTGATACCCCATAGTGAAACAGTAAGGCACAGTGACTCTGAAATCAGATTCCCTGGCTTCACATCCCTGCTGCAGCTCACACCTCAGCTCTGTATGACCTTGTGGTCAGGAGACCTGCCCTGCGTCAGTTTCTTTATCCGTAGGGTGGAGATGATCACTCCTACCGCGATTCAGATGGGGCGTGAGTATTCTATGTATGCCAGATCAGGTGCCCACCAGGGTGCACTGGGGTATTGCCTGCGGGGTGGAGGGGTGGGGAGGGATGCAGCTGGACCGGTGGGGTACCTGGGCTTTTTCCAGAGGGCACTGGGGAGCCATGGCAGGTTCTCACCAGGATAGGGACGTGGTCAGGTTTATTGGATTATGCTTTAACAGGACTCTTCCAGCTGCCCTTTTGTACTAAGTGTGGCAGGTTTGGGGCACCGGTTTGGAAAGGCTGAACTGGCAACTCCGAGTGGCTACACGGCCTGAGCCTTGAATGCCAGGCCCAGAGGCTTGTATTCATTTGCCGCGGGAACCTTCGTACGGTTCTGCCCGTTTGTTTTTCAGGGGCCGGTGATCCCGATGAACAGTTCCCCCGCGGACATCCTCAGCCCCCCACAGTTCCCAACCAAAGCTGGACACTGATCTCTCCGTCTGCTTCCTTCCGCCTTGGTGTTCTTAATCTCTGCGCTGCCTGGCCCTTTAAATCTCGAGCGTCAATCAGGGCTTCTGTTCGAGGGAACGTTGTGTAATACGCCTCACAATAATGAGGAGTGTCGTGGCCTTTGCCCTGACCTTGTTCTGTTTAGCTGGACGTTGGGAGTTGTTCCACGCTCCCTTAAATCTGGCTATGTCTATCCCACCACCCCCCTCCCGTCACCTCTCGCCTACTCCTCCCTATTTCGAAGTTGGGCCCCTTCGCCAAGGCCTGCCTTATATGGGCACGGCTCCGAATGGCGGCCTCTCATTGGCTGAGGCCGTCACGCGCGCTTCTGTCAACAAAGGGGCGGAGGGAAGCTAGACGCTTGCCAGCCCGCGCGGTGGCCGGAGGGAAGGAGCGAAGGGGCGGGCCCTCTTACCTTCGCACGCATGCGTATGGGCTGCCGCCTTCTCCCGCCGCTTGGGGGGGCAGCGGGTGAGGGCTCTTTGGAGGCGTGTATAGGTTTCGAGGGTCACCTGAGGGTTTTGGAAGGTTTCTTTGTGGGGGGCGGTTACAAGGTTTGGGGGTTCCCTTTGCATTTGCAAAATGTTTTGGGGCTTCGGGAAGTTTTGGCGTGGGGTTTAGGGGATACTTTGGGGGTTCCCTTGCGCTTAAGGGGCACCTTGGGGTTTCGTTTGTGTTTTCGGGATCGGGTTCCCTTTGTGCTTTGGGGTGTTTGGTGGGTATAGGATTTGGGGAGTTCCCGGAGAGACAGAAGCAAAGAGCCGGAGAATACCAGTTCTGGAACCGGAATGTCTGGGCTTGTGTCCTGACTTCTTCCTACCTGTCTGAACCCGGACAGGAGATTTCACCGGTGTCTCATCGGGAGCTGGTGATTAATAACACTACCTGCTTCCTAGGGACCCAGGAGGATTACAGGATGGTTAGCATGGTACCTAGTAAGCCCGCAGCGAGTGTGCAGTAAGCACATGTCTGCTATTGTAACATTTGTGAGGTTTCCTTTTTTTTTTTTTTTTTTTTGCTTTTTTTGCTTTGTGAAACATTTTTATAGTTTAAGATTCACCTTAAAGTATTAGGGAGCTTTTGTGTTTTCGGAGTTCATCTGCTGTTGGAGGGCTTCTAGTGGAATTAGATAATGGAGGAGGGTTGGGGGAGTATAGGATTCCAGGAGAGTGGTTGTTTATGACATAGGTTGGGAAATTGCTGTGTTGGGATCTGTGATAGATTCATTGAGATTGGGCCCTTCTGTGCTGGAGAGGATATTTTTAGGTTCATTGGTTTAAACTAGTATTTGAAAGGTTTTTGATATTTGGGGTAGGACATTAAGATGCTGGAGGTTGGAACTGATGAGGGGACTTGAGGGGCTGGCCAGGCTGTGCAGGATGACATCTGTAGAGACTGGCTTTTGCTGTGTTAGTCTGCCTCCCTGGACAGTTGGATATACAAGTTAAGCATTGCTTACCCGAAAAGCTTGGGACCAGAAGTGTTTCGGCTTTCGGATTTCTTCAGATTTTGAGTATTTGCATTATACTTAGCAGTTGAGTATGTCAAATCTGAAAATCTGAAATGTTCCAATGAGCATATCCCATCAGTGTCATCTTGGTATTCAAAAAGTTCTGTATTTGGAAGCATTTTCAGATGTGAGATGCTCAACATGTCTGTGAATTGGTGGTTGGTAAACAGCCATCTATAGGTTTTGGGGGCTGTGGGGTGATATTTTTAACACTGAACTGAGATTACAGCAAGGACTATAAGTATTTGAGGGGTAGGTGGGATTAGGGGTTGTCTGGGGGGAAATACATGGGGATTCTCTGTGTTTACTGGTCCTGTGAGTGCCTGGAGGCTGTCTGGATTTGGGGTTTTTTGTTTATGCTTTTTCCGTTTTACACACTTCTACTCAGTGAAGGGTTTTTTTTTGTTGTTTTTTTGAGATGGAGTTTCATTCTTGTTGCCCAGGCTGGAGTACAATGACGCAATCTCAGCTCACTGCAACCTCTGCCTCCTGTTTAAAGTGATTCTCCTGCCTCAGCCTCCCAAGTAGCTGGGACTGCAGGTGGACTCCACCACGCCTAATTTTTGTATTTTCAGTAGAGATGGGGTTTTGCCACGTTAGCCAGGCTAGTCTTGAACTCCTGACCTCTGACGATCCACCTGCCTCAGCCTCCCAAATTGCTCTGGAATTACAGGCATGAGCCACCACGCCCGGCCTAGAATTGCTTGAATTTAGATGGACAGTCTGTTCTGCAGGAGTTGGCAAACTATTTTTATAAGGAGCCAGATAATGGATATTGTAGGCTTTGCGGGCCATGTGGTCTTTGTTCTGCTATTCAGCTCTGTTGTCAAAGATGAAAGCATCCATAAACAAATGAGCATGTTTCAATAAAACTTTATTTACAAAGACAGTGAGCTGGATTTGGCTTCTGGGCCATAGTTTGCTGTCCTCGCTGGCCTATAGCCATGTGGAAGTTTCAAGGCTTAAAGGGTCATTTTGGTTTTGAGCTGTCTGGAGGGAGATGGGCCAGAGAAAGATTGAGGTATGTGTTACTTAGTAGGTAGCAACTGCAACGAAAGTGATCGTATTGGACTCATGCACAAGATTGCCTCCAGATTAGGTCATTCACATGAAATCATTACGAAATAAAATGGTTATTATTAACAGAACCCTAAATTGAAGAGTCCAGAAACCAAGTTGAGAGCCTCTTTTTGCTCCAGACCCACTGTAATCTTAGCTATATCACCCTTCCCCTCTCTGAGCCTCTGTTTATCTGTGTGCAGTTTGAGGAAAAAGCTAGACTAGAACAGGCCCCCTTTTTTTTCTTTTTTTTTCCAAGATGGGTTCTTTCTCTGTCACCCAGGCTGGAATGCAGTGGTATGATCACAGCATTACAGCTCACTGCAGCCTCAACCTCCCGAGCTCAAGCGACCCTCCCACCGAAGCCTCCCAAATAGTCTCCCAAGATGCGCCCACCCACCCAGCTAATTTTTGTTTCTTTTTTGGTAGTGATGGGTTTTGCCATGTTGCCCAGGCTGGTCTCAAGTTCCTGGGCTCAAGCAATCTACCCACCTTGGCCTCCTGAAGTGCTAAGATTACAGGCACAAGCCACCACCCCCGTTCTTTTTTAGAGGGTCTCACTCTGTCACCCAGGCTGGAGTGCAGTGGTGCCATCATTGGTCCCTGCAGCCTGGAACTCCTAGGCTGTAGAACAGGCCCTCTTATTTCACATGTTCACAGCCACACTTCAGGGAATTACCTGCACCATCTTGGCAAGTGTGTGCATTTTTCTAACTGAGGACACACAGCTTTAAGATATTCTTATTAAGCCCAATGACCTGAAAAAAATGAAAAGCTGATTTTTTAAGTGCTTGTCTGAATCAGACCTCAGATTTTTTTCCCCATCCCAGCCCATCTCGTTCCTCTCTCTGTGGGTTTAAGCAGCCATAACTGTGGGCAGGGCTGGGAATGCCTTGTCTTTTCAGCAACAAGCTACTGAGTGAATAAATAGAAAAAGGACCTTGTCTGTCAGTGGTCTTTTCACTTAGGTGTAAAGGTTATGGTGTGTAAAGGCCTCTGGATTGTGGGTGAAGGCAGTTGGCCAGTGGTGTAGGATCTGTGGAGCTCGAGCATGCTGCCAGTTAGGCTCATACTCTGTGAGTTAAAGGAGCATCTCATCCCCTCTGCAACCCTCTGTCTGTTCACCTGAGCATGGTGGTACGAATAGAGGGTTGTTTTTTTTTTTGAGACAGTTTCGCTTTTACTGCCCAGGCTGCAGTGCAATGATGCTATTTCGGCTCACTGCAACCTCTGCTTCCCTGGTCCAAGTGATTCTCGTGCCTCAGCCTCCCAAGTAGCTGGGATTACAGGTGTGCACCACCACACCTAGCAAATTTTTGTATTTTTAGTAGAGATGGGGTTTCCATGTTGGTCAGCCTGGTCTTGAACTCCTGACTTCAGGTGATCTGCCTGCCTCAGCCTCCCAAAGGGCTGGGGTTACAGGCAGGAGCTACTGCGCCTGACTGGGAGTTGAGTTCTTGATGGTCTGGTTTGGTCTGTCCCCACTGGAGAGGTGGAGGTTGGGATGGTTCTGGGAAGAAAGGCCATCCCCCAGCTCCCCAACCTTCTCTTCCTGTCTCCAGGTGGCATGTGGAGCCTCCCACCACCATTTAGGTCCTGAGATGTGTTGAAGCCCAGCCTGTCTGCCATCATCCCCCAGCATGGACCGCGGAAGCCTCCTGCCCTTCCAGCTGTGGTGCCCCCGGCCCTTTGGCACCTACTCACAGAACCAGCCTCGCCCAGCTTCTGCGGCCCTCAAGCCATCAGCCTGCGCTGAGCCTGGTGGCGGAGTTGAGCCAGACCATGGGCCTGCCCACTCAGAGAACACACCACCTGCCTTGGCCACCGAGGCCCCTGCCTCCCAGCCGGCTCCACTCCTCTCAGCAGCAGCTGCTGGCGATGAGGGTCGAGTCCTCCTAGACACGTGGTATGTCATCAAGCCTGGGAATACAAAGGAGAAGGTGGCCTTCTTTGTGGCCCACCAGTGTGGTGGGGGCAGCCGGGCCAGCTCCATGAAGGTCAAGGGGCACTGGGGCAGCGACAGCTCCAAGGCCAAGCGGAGACGGCGCTGTCTTGACCCCACCAAGGCTCCTCCTGATCCAGGGGGTCGGGAGGGGCCCCCTGCTACTGAGGAGGGCCCCTCCTCAGCTGGTGAGGATGTGGACCTGCTCTCTGTGGCCGAGATGGTGGCCCTGGTGGAACAGCGGGCAGCCCTGGCCCTGCAGAGCTACCCACGACCAGCCACCCCAGCACCTGTAGTCTTTGTGTCAGCTGAGCAGGGTGGACCGGCCAAGGGGGTGGGGTCCGAACGGCGGTCTGGCGGTGGGGACTGCAGCCGTGTAGCCGAGGCTGTGGCCCACTTTGAGGCGCAGAGGGACAGCCCTCCCACCAAGGGCCTCCGCAAGGAGGAGCGGCCCGGACCAGGCCCTGGGGAGGTGCGCATCGCCTTCCGCATCTCCAACGGCCGGGAGCCCCGTGCACCAGACAGCGGCCTGCCCAGTGGGGGCGGGGGCAGGCCTGGTTGTGCCTACCCTGGCAGCCCAGGTCCTGGGGCCCGAGCCAAGGACAAGATCACGTGTGACTTATACCAGCTCATCAGCCCCTCGCGGGATGCCCTCCCCAGCAACGTGGAGTTCCTGCTGGCCAGGGCGGATGAGGCCAGCGAGGGTGAGAGCCCAGCGCCCGTGAGGCCCGAGGACACTCCTCCGGCGCCGCCTCCACCCCCTGCCCGGGACTGTGGAGCGTCCGGCTTCCACGTGGACGTGGTGGTGACGGGCGTGGTGGATGAGTGCATCTTCTTTGGCAAGGACGGCACCAAGAACGTGAAGGAGGAGACTGTGTGCCTGACAGTCAGCCCCGAGGAGCCGCCGCCTCCGGGCCAGCTCTTCTTCCTCCAGAACCGCGGGCCGGATGGGCCCCCAGAGCCTCCCCCGGCAGACTCGCCGGCCACCGCGCCTGGCCCGGACGATGCCGAGGGCACGGCGGATACCTCCCTGTGCCGCCTATACCGGCACGTGTCACACGACTTCCTAGAGATCCGCTTCAAGATTCAGCGGCTGCTGGAGCCGCGGCAGTACATGCTGCTGCTGCCCGAGCACGTGCTGGTCAAGATCTTCAGCTTCCTGCCCACCCGCGCGCTGGCCGCCCTCAAGTGCACCTGCCACCACTTCAAGGGCATCATCGAGGCGTTCGGCGTGCGGGCCACAGACTCGCGCTGGAGCCGAGACCCGCTCTACCGCGATGACCCGTGCAAGCAGTGCCGCAAGAGATACGAGAAGGGCGACGTGTCGCTCTGCCGCTGGCACCCCAAGCCCTACCACCACGACCTGCCTTACGGACGTTCCTACTGGATGTGCTGCCGTCGAGCCGACCGCGAGACGCCAGGTTGCCGCCTGGGCCTCCACGATAACAACTGGGTGCTGCCCTGCAATGGGCCGGGTGGGGGCCGGGCAGGCCGGGAGGAGGGGAGGTGAAGCCGGGGGAGGGGCGGGGAGAGCCCACTATGCCCGCCCCTCCCCCTCCCCCGGGAGCCGAGGGTCCGGACTGGGCCGCCTGCTCCCATTCCCCCACTCCAGGCAGCATTGATCCCCCCACGGAACTGAGCCGGTGTTCAGCGGGAGTGACCCAGGAAAGCACTCTGCTGGCTCCTGTTGGTTTTCTATTCTTCAGAACCAGGGCGGTGGACCCTCTGAGAAGGGTGATTTTTTTATCAGCATCTCACTTTCTTCTACATTCAGCCCCTACCCTCTCCCTGCCATGCTCTCCACCCCAGGGACTCACCAGCAGGGAGCAGACGGCAGCTAATTTTGGTACCACTTAAGGGTTCCCCCATTCTGGCCCCCCATCCTCTCCCACGCCCCAATTCTTTTTCCAGGAGCTGTTATTTCCCAAGAGGCCGCAGCGCCCAAGGTTGGCACCTCTTCTAACCTGCCACACCAGGGTTCACACCTCCCTAGGAATTGAGGGCTGTCAGGTCACAGGTGGGATTTGGGATTTTTTCATGACAGCCCGCCATTTCTAGATGGTTTCCCTATTAAAGAAGTTGGGGGGGGGGCGAAATGCTGTTTTCTCCTTAACCTCAAGCTACCAGTCTCACTTCCCCAGTGAGGAAGAAGGGAAAAAGCTGAAGTATAAAAATCCTCCTCCTCCCGTTATTATTTAAGCTACTGCCATCACCCCCACTCCCATAAAGCTGTGAAGCCCTTTGCCTGGCTCTTGACAGCGCAGGGGCCCATGGGCAGGGACTGCGGATTTGCATTTCTGGGTTTTTCCTTCCACTCTGGGCTCGTTCAGGCATCGGGGTCTCCTCACCCCCGGCCATCTGTTTTTTTAAGAATCCTTTGGTCAACCAGGACCTTGATTTTTTTTCAGGCATTTTGGTCTGGGGTATTTTTGTTTGTTCTCTCTCTCTTGTTTTTCCCCCATCATTGTGGTTCTGGAAGCTTCTAGCGTGTGGCATCTGACCAATTTTGAATTGGTCCTTTCTATAAAATCAATATTTATAAGGCTGTGCTCAGACTGGTTTGTATGTTGTGAAGCGAGGGTTTGGGAAGAGAGGGGAGCTGTGGCCTGTGCGTGGGGGATGGAAAAGTGGAGAGACAGGATCCCTCGCCAAGTCCCTTAGCCTGAGATTATTTTTTACTCTTCTCATCTGTGTCGGTTTGGATTTGAAAAATCTCAAAATAGTAGTAGCTTAAACAAGATTTTTTTTTTCTTAGAGATAGGGTCTCACTGTCACCCAGGCTGGAGTGCAGTGGTGCCATCACAGCTCACTGCCGCAACCTCCTGGGCGCCGGGAAACCTGCTACCTTATCCTGCCAAGCAGCTGTGTTTTCTACAGGTGTACGCAACCATACCCAGCTAATTTTTTAATTTTTTTGGTACAGATGGGGTCACCAAGTTGCCCAAGTTGGTCTCAAACTCCTGGGTTCAAGCAGTCCTCCTGCCTCAGCCTCCCACAGTGCTGGGATTACAGGAGAGAGCCACCGTGCCCAGCCAAGGTCATTTTGCTCTTACTATCACCATTTTGCTTGGAGACCCCCTTCCTCGCAGAAGCACTACACTACGTTTCTATATACATCTCACCCGTCAGACTTAGCCACAGAAGGGCTGCACAAGAGTCTAGGAAATGCCATCTTTTAGCTGGGTGCAATATGTCCAACAAAATATTCTTTACTAAAAATCTCTTTAATTAAAGTTTTAAAATAGCCACTTATTATTATTTTTGAGATGGAGTTTTGCTTTTATTGCCAGGCTGCAGTGCAATTGCACGATCTCAGCTCACCACAACCTCTACCTCCCGGGTTCAAGCGATTCGCCTGCCTCAGCCTCCTGAGTAGCTGGGCTCATGGGTGCTCGCCACCACACCCGACTAATTTTTATATTTTAGTAGAGACAGGGTTTCACGATGTTGGCCAGGCTGCTCTTGAACTGCTGGCCTTCAGTGATCCACCCGCCTCTGCCTCCCAAAATGCTGGGATTACAGTGGGGGTGAGCCACCGTGCCCAACTGGATATCTTAAATTTTCAGTTTTAAGAAAGAGAAAACTGGATATTGAGAGGCAGCTAACAGTCTCTGACATTCTTCTCAGGAAATCAATTTCTAGAAGGCTAGGATACATCGTGGTAGTGATTCAGTGCTTCAATTTTAGATCAAAAAGACTTGGGTTTGAATCTTGTGGGATTTCAATTTCTTGCGGGGAGGGTGAGTTAGATTATTCAGACCTTCTTGTTGAGAACAACTGAAAAAAAAAATCTCCTGAAAAGGATCAAATTGGTATAACCAATAAAATACAGTAAGGATCCACCATGCCAAATAGTTAAGAGAATGGTATGTGGGGCTCTGAAGCCACATTTGCTGTCAGGGCATTTGCTGATGTGGGCACACTGGGGTTTCCTACCTCGCAGCCTTACTGGAGCGAGCAGGTAAAAGTCAAGGCCAACGCCAGCCCATGGTGAACAACCACGGGAACTGGCATCCCAGAGAACGGCAAGCTCAGGTAGGGATGACCCAGAAGACTGCAGAGGTATCCAAGATGCAGAGATCAAATGAAAAAAGATCCGGAGAATTTGTGGCCACAGACTGGCCCTTGGCAGTTCCTTTGGAAGGAACTGTCATCTAGAAGCCCCACAAACAATTTTTTTTGGGGGGAGACAGAGTCTCACTCTATCACTAGGCTGGAGTACAATGGCTTGATCTCTGCTCACTGCAATCTCCACTTCCTGGGTTCAAGCAATTCTCCTGCCTCAGCCTCCCAAGTAGCTAGGATTACAGGTGTGCGCCACCACACCCAGCTAATTTTGGTATTTTTAGTAGAGACAGCGTTTCACCATTTTGGTCAACCTGATCTGGAACACCTGACCTTGTGATCCGCCCACCTCAGCCTCCTGAAGTGCTGGGATTATAGGCGTGAGCCACTGTGCCCAGCCAATTTTTTTTTTTTTTTGAAACCCAGTTTTGCTCTTGTTGCCCAGCTGGAGTGCAGTGGCATGATCTCGGCACACTGCAACCTCTACTTCCTGGGGTCAAGTGTTTCTCCTGCCTCACCTGCCAAGTAGCTGAGACTACAGGTACGCACCATGATGCCCAGCTAATTTTTTGTATTTTTAGTAGAGACAGGGTTTCACCATGTTGGCCAGGCTGGTCTCAAACTCCTGACCTAAGGTGATCCACCCACCTTGGCCTCCCAAAGTGCTGGGATTACAGGTGTGAGCCACCATGCCTGCTTTTTTTTTTTGCTACAGAGTCTCCCTGTCTCTCAGGCTGGAGTGCAATGGCACCATCTCAGTTCACTGCAACCTCCACCTCCCCAGCTCAAGTGATTTTCTTGCCTAAGCCTCCCAAGTAGCTGGGATTATAGGCGCCCACCACCATGCCTGGCAGTTTTTTTGTTTGTAATTTTTTGGTAGAGATGGGGTTTCACCATGTTGACCAGGCTGGTCTTGAACTCCTGACCTCAAGCAATCTGCCTGCCTCAGAGTCCTAAAGTGCTGGAATTACAGGCATGATGAGCCACCGCACCCAGCCCGCCACAAATGTTTCAGGTAATGAGTAGTGCACAAATCACCAAACACAAATGGAAATAATATGAACAAGAACCAACAGAAACAACAAAGACACCCACATAGGCTTCACGTGGTGAAACTGTCAATCACAGGTTATAATACAACATTTAAACTATGTTTAAAAATTTAGGCTGGGCACAGTGGTGGCTCACGCCTGTAATCCAAGTACTTTGGAGGCCAAAGCAGGAAGATCACCTGAGGTCAGTAGTTCAAGACCAGCCTGACCAACATGGTGAAACCCCATCTGAAAAAAAAAAAAAAATTAAAAAACAACTTGGGGTTAGCAAGGAAGCCAAAACTGTAAAAAACAACAAAAAATCAAGGCCGGTGTGGTGGCTCATGTCTTCCCAGCACTTTGGGAAGCTGAGGCAGTTGGATCACCTGACATTGGGAGCTGACCAACATGGAGAAGCCCCATCTCTACTAAAAATACAAAAAATTGGCCGGGTGTGGTGGCACATGCCTGTAGTCCCAGCCACTTGGGAGGCTGAGGCAGGAGAATCTCTTGAACTTGGGAGGCGGAGGTTGTGGTGAGCTGGGATCACACCATTGCACTCCAGCCTGGGCAACGAGAGGGAAACTATGTCTTAAAAAAAAAAAAAAAAAAAAAAAAATCAAAGTGCCCTAGTAGGTAGGAAAGAGAAAGAAAGCCCGCTGACATAACTTTCACAAATCAAAAATGCATACATCAGTGTTGTGTAGGGGAAAAATGAGAAATGCAATAACCAAGAGTCACCCAATAGCTGGGTGAAATAACAAAAAGATCTACCACATTTATACAAGTGGCTTTTTAAAGGCAGAAACAATAACGTTTAATTGGCATTCCAGAATCAAAAGAAAGAATACATACAAAGACAATATTAAAAGACATGATAGTTGGAAAATTACAAACTGATAAAAGACACAAATAGTATTTTTTAAAAGGCCAAGTGTGGTGGCTCACACCTTTTCTGAACTTTGGGAGGCTGAGGCAAGAGTAGCACTTGAGGCCAGTTTAGCAGCAGCCTGGGCAACATACCAAGATCTCATCTCTACAAAAAACTAATTTAAGCCAGGCTCGGTGGCTCACACCTGTAATCCCAACACTTTGGGAGGCTAAGGGCAGATCACCTGAAGTCATGAGTTTGAGACCAGCCTGGCCAGCATGGCAAAACCCCATCTCTACTTAAAAAAAAAAAAAATTAGCCGGGCGTGATGGTATGTGCCTGTAGTCCCAGCTACTTGGGAGGCTGAGGCAGGAGAATCGCTTGAACCCAGGAAGCAGAGGTTGCAGTGAGCCGAGATCGTGCCACTGTACTCCAGCCTGGGTCACAGAGCAAGACTCTGTTTCAAAACAAAACACAAAAATTAACTGGGCATGGCAGCGGGCACCTGTAATCTAAGCTACTGATGAGGGAGAGTCACTTGGACCCAGGGATTGGAGGTTGCAGTGAGCCAAGGTCATGGCACTGTACTCCAGCCTGGGCGACAAGAGTGAAACTCCATCTCAAAAAAAAAGTTCTCATGATGCCTGGCACACAGTAGATGCTCAGTAAACGTCAGCGAATGTAGAACCTAAATTTGGGACCTATGTTTACCCTCTCATTTGATATCCTGAGTTTCAGACCTGGAGGTGATTTGCAGGGAAGATGCTCACCTTCAATAATCCTCCAACCTGTGCTCACTGCTAAGTCTCTATCAGAGTCATAAACCCTGGCATGTTTTTGTAAGTAGAGAAAAAAGAAGTCATGAACCTGCAGGGTCATAAACCAGCAGGCACAGAGTACAGCGTAGAACTCTGCTTCCAGGCTCTACCTGTCTCAGCTTTTTCTTTTGCGTTGGTTTGCTGAGCAGCTGTGTATGCACCAGAGTGTATCCTTAAGAAGAGCATGGGCCAGGCGCAGTGGCTCACACCTGTAATCCCAGCACTTTGGGAGGCCGAGGCTGGCAGATCACAAGGTCAGGAGATTGAGTTCACCCTAGCTAACACAGTGAAAACCCGTCTTTACTAAAAATGCAAAAAATTAGCCAAGCGTGGTGGCATGTGCCCATAGAGTCCCAGCTACTCAGGAGGTTGAGGCAGGAGACTCTCTTGAACCTGGGAGGTGGAGGTTGCTGTGAACCGAGAACGCGCCACTGCACCCCAGCCTGGGTGGGCAACGAAATGAGACTCCATCTCAAAAAAAACAAAACAAAACAAAAAAACCTCCTGGGCTCAATAGATCCTCCCACCTCTACCTCTCAAAGTGTTGAGATTGCAAGGATGAGCCGCCACATGCAGTCTGCATTGTTTAATAAGCACCCCAGCTGAGTCTGAGAATTAGGTAGGGCTGGGAAATACTTTCTCACTGGAGTTTGCAATTACACCTGCCGTCTCACACTTCTGTGCCCACAGCTGAAAGGAAACAGTGTGCTCTAACGACTCTGCAGTCAGTCCAGGTCTTTCTTACCCATTCCTCCCATAGATGCTCTCCGACTTTCAAAACTCCGTGTTTTTTGAAATAGGATACCTCATCTTCTGAAGTATCCTAGTTCTTGTTGTTGTTTTGAGTCTCGCTCTGTTGCCCAGGCTGCAGTGCAGTGACGTGATCTTGGCTCACTGCAGAAACCCCATCTCTACTCCGCCACCTGGGCTCCAGCGATTCTCCTGCTTCAGCCTCCGGAGTAGCTGGGATTACAGGCACCTGCCACCACACCCGGCTAATTTTTTTTTTTTGAGGCGGAGTTTTGCTGTTGTTACCCAGACTGGAGTGTAATGGCACGATCTCGGCTCACTGCAACCTCCGCTTTCTGGGTTCAAGCAATTCTCCTGCTTCAGCCTCCCGAGTAGCTGGGACTACAGATGCGCACCACCATGCCCAGCTAATTTTTCTATTTTTAGTAGAGACAGGGTTTCACCTTGTTGACCAGGATGGTCTCAATCTCTTGACCTTGTGATCCACCCACCTCGGCCTCCCAAAGTGCTGGGATTATAGGTGTGAGCCACCGTGCCCGGCCTACGCTCGGTTAATTTTTGTATTTTTAGTAGAGATGGGGTTTCACCATGTTGTCTGGGCTGGGCTTGATCTCCTGAGTTCCGGTGAACCACCAGCCTTCGCCTCCCAAAGTTCTAGAATTATAGGTGTGAACCACCGCGCCCGGTCAAGGTATCCTAGTTCTATGAAGTGCTTCTCACTAAAAAGGGTTCCATAGTGAAATGGATTCTGTCTTAAAAATTCACATCATGCAGTGAGGAAACATTTTTTGCGGGGGGATGGAATCTCACTCTGTTGCCCAGGCTGGAGTGCAACAGCGCTATCTTGGCTCACTGCAAACTCTGCCTCCCGGGTTCAAGTGATTCTCCTGCCCCAGCTTCCTGAGTAGCTGAGATTACAGGAGCCTGCCACCATGCCTGACTAATTTTTATATTTTTAGTAGAGAGGGGGTTTCACCATGCTGTCTAGAATGGTCTCGAACTCCTGACCTCGGATGATCCACCTGCCTCAGCCTCTCAAAGTGCTGAGATTACAGGCATGAGCCGCCACACCCAGCCAAGAAAACTCATTTTATGTTGTCTCACCTGCTTCTTGGATTTCAGATCCTCCTTGTCATGCACCATCTATTTACATGAGTCCTACAGCATGTTTGGGGTTTTGTTGTTGTTTTGACACAGAGTGTCACTGTGTTGCCCAGGCTGGTCTTGAACTCTTGGGTTCAAGGGATCCTCTCACCTCAGCCTCCTAAGTAGCTGATGCTACAGGCGTGCACCACCACACCTGTCTTATGCAGGCAGGCAGTGCTTTGCAGAAACACTTGTCACACTTTTTATTCTTTTCCTTTCTGTGGAGAATGGGGTCTCCCTATATTGCCCAGGCTGGGCTCAAAGTCCTGGGCTCAAGCTATCCTTCCGCCTCTGCCTCCCTAGAGCTGGGACTGCGGGCATGAACCACCACACCCAGCCAGAAACACTGGCTTATTGCCCATTGGGTCTGACAGAATCTGGACTTTCACAATAACAGCTTCCGTCTCCTCTGTGCCTGGTTATGAGCACATCCTCTGTGTGCCCCATGTGGGAGTTAGGTTGGGACTGGTGCAGTAGCAAGGCGGCCACTCTGGAGAATGAATGGACACAAAACAAGCCACAGAGAATTCATTTGGTTGGTGGCATTACTGGTCCAGACCAGTGACAGTCTTTTATTCTTTTTTAAACTTTTTTTTTTTTAATTTTTTATTTTTTGAGACAGAGTCTTATCTGTGGCCAGGGCGGAGTGCAGTGGCATGATCTCAACTCACTGCAACCTCTGACTCCCAGGCTCAAGCGATCCTCCTGCCTCAGCCTCCCAAGTAGCTGGAGTACAGGCATGCACCACCGCCACAGTCGGCTAACTTTTTGTATTTTTAGTAGAGACGGGGTTTCACCATGTTGGCCAGGATGGTCTCAATCTCCTGACCTCGTGATCCACACACTTTGGCCTCCCAAAGTGCTGGGATTACAGGTATAAGCCACCACACCCAGCCTCAATTATTTTATTTTTATTTTTTGAGACAGAGTCTTGCTCTGTTGCCAGGCACTAAGCTGGAGTGCAGTGGTGCGATCTCAGCTTACTGCAACCTCTGCCTCCGAGGTTCAAGCAGTTCTCCTGCCCCAGCCTCCGGAGTAGCTGGGACTACAGGCACCCGCCACCACACCCAGCTAATTTTTGTATTTTAGTAGAGACAGGGTTTCACCATGTTGACCAGGATGGTCTCGATCTCTTGACCTCGTGATCCACCTGCCTCGGCCTCCCAAAGTGCTGGGATTATGGGTGTGAGCTAGCGCGCCCTGAAGTCTTTTACTTTTTTAGTTCACAGACTAGAACAACAGCATTTGGCCCCTGTAAACCTTCAGACCAAGTATTTACCTCTGGGGAGGGCCAAGTTCTTATTCCTCTGGCTGTCACCCTACAATGGTCTCTTCCCTGTCCTTGAAGGGTGGCAGCTTGAGACAATCAAAAGAAAGAAGGTCTTCCAATTGTAGCACAATTTGGAAACAAAGGTGTGAAAAGGACAAGCAAGCATCCCCTAGGCAGGTCCTGCCTGAGAGCCACTGGTCCCGCACCAGGACCTTCTCTCTCACAGTCCTCTCCACAGGCATTGGGCCAGCTCACTAGAGCCCCAGGTATTCGGCCAGGAACACGGCGAGAATTCGGCTCAAGTTGTGTACCGTGGGCGGGTGGAGATTGGCCTCGGTGTCTGCAGGGGTGTGCCAGACAGCAGGGAAGGGCGTGGAGATAAGATGGAGCACGGGGACCCCTGAAGTGACAGAGGAGACTTCGTCAGGTCCGCTGCAGCCCACCATGACCCAGGAGTCCAAGCCCCGCCTCTGGATAACCTGGCCTTGTCCCCACACACTGGCAAAAGATATGTTCTGGCACTTTTTTTTTTTAAGACGGAGTCTCTCTCTCTCGCCCCGGTTGGAGTGCAGTGTCTCGGTCTCGGCTCACTGCAGTCTCAGCCTCCCAGTTTCCAGCAATTCTACTGCCTCAGCCTCCTGGATACCTGGGATTACAGGCAGATACCATGATGCCCAGCTAATTTTTGTATTTTTAGTACAGGTGGGGTTTCACCATGTTGGCCAGGCTGGTCTCAAACTCCTGACCTCAGGTGATCCACTCACCTCGGCCTCCCAAAGTGCTGGGATTACAGGCATGAGCCACCATGCCCAGCTCTGGCACTTTTTTTTTTCCCCCTCTCTGTCGCCTAGAGTAGAGTGCAGGGGCTCGATCAAGGCTCACTGCAGCCTTGACTTCCCAGGCTCAGGTGATCCTCCCACCTCAGCCTCTCAAGCAACTGGGACTACAGGCGCGCACCACCATGTCCTGCTAAATTTTTGTATTTTTAGTAAAGACAAGATTTATGCAATGTTGCTGGTTTCAAACTCCTGGGCTCAAATTCCTCCCGCCTCAGCCTCCGAAATTGCTGGGATTACAGGTGTGAGCCACCGTGCCCAGCTGCAAACATTTCTTGAATGCTTGCTATGTGCTGGGCGCTGGTCCAAGCGAGGTCTTTATAGGTATTAGCATGTTCAATCCCCTCAACAATACTCTAAGATAGAGAGTATTAAGGCCTGATGCGGTGGCTCATGCCTGTAATCCCAGCACTTTAGGAGGCCGAGGCAGGTGGATCACGAGGTCAGGAGATCAAGACCATCCCGGCCAACATGGTGAAACCCCGTCTCTACTAAAAATACAAAAATCAGCTGGGCGTGGTCACACGTGCCCGTAATCCCAGCTACTCGGGAGACTGAGGCAGGAGAATTGCTTAAATCTGGGAGTCACAGGTTGCAGTGAGCCAAGATCCTACCACTGCACTCCAGCCTGGGTGACAGAGTAAGACTCTGTCTCAGAGAGAAGAGAGAGTATTATCCCCATATTACAGATGAATAAAAGCACAGAGGTTAAGCCACTGAGCACCATTCCCCAGCCTTGGGAAGGGGACACGGCCAGTTCCAATTTGAGGCTTCCTTGGTTGCCCACCCTCCTCGCTGCCCACCGGTACCTCTTCGGAGGAAGGGGATGTGGTCGTCTTCCACAGAGCCAATGGGCTCCCCAGGTTGGAAGTACATCACTTCCTGGGGATGAGACTGCAGCAGGTTCAAACGATGCAGACGCTTCTCTGGATGTGGGGGCGATTTGAGAGGAAGGGTTAGTCCTTAGCAGTCTAAAATCTCCAGTCCACAAATCGGAGGAGGGCAGAGCACCCAGAGGTAAAGCCCTGGTCATCCCAACAGGAGTGAATACCAGTCACTTCTTCCTGTGGCCTTGCTATGTTTCCCGTTTCATTCAATCCCTCTGAGTCTAAGACAAAGACACCTTTTTTTTTTTTTTGAGACAGAGTTTCGCTCTTGTTACCCAGGCTGGAGTGCAATGGCGCGATCTCGGCTCACCGCAACCTCTGCCTCCTGGGTTCAGGCAATTCTCCTGCCACAGCCTCCTGAGTAGCTGGGATTACAGGGATGCGCCACCATGCCCAGCTAATTTTTTTTTTTTTTGTATTTTTAGTAGAGACGGGGTTTCACCATGTTGACCAGGATGGTCTCGATCTCTTGACCTCGTGATCCACCCGCCTTGACCTCCCAAAGTGCTGGGATTACAGGTGTGAGCCAATGCACCTGGCCCCCCACCTTTTTTTTTTTGAGACAAGATCTTATGGCTGGGTGCGGTGGCTCATGCCTGTAATCCCAGCACTTAGGGAGGCTGAGGGAGGTGGATCACCTGAGGTCAGGAGTTCGAAAGCAGCTTGGCCAACATGCTGAAATCCTGTCTCTATTAAAAATACAAAAATTAGTCTGGGCGTGATGGCTCACGACTGTAATCCCAGCACTTTGGGAGGCTGAGGCGGGCGGATCATGAGGTCAGGAGATCAAGACCATCCTGGCTAACACAGTGAAACCCTGGCTCTACTAAAAATACAAAAAATGAGCTGGGCATGGTGGCATGTGCCTGTAGTCCCACCTACTCAGGAGGCAGAGGCAGGAGAATCCCTTGAACCCAGGAGGCAGAGGTGGCAATGAGCCGAGATCATGCCACTGCACTCCAGCCTGGGTGACAGACCGAGACTCCATCTCAAAAAGAAAAAAACAAAAACAAAAATTAGCTGGGCATGGTGGTGGGCGCCTGTAATCCCAACTACTTGGGAGGCTGAGACATGAGAACTGCTTGAACCAGGAAGTGGAGGTTGCACTGAGCTGAGATCAACTCTGTCTCAAAAAAAAAGATATTGCTCTGTCACCCACACTGGAGTGCAGTGGGGCAGTCACAACTCAGTGCAGCCTTACCCTCCCCAGCTTAAGCGATCCTCCACTCTCAGCCTCCCATATAGCTGGGACTTCAGGCACATGTCACCATGCCTCTGTGTGTGTGTGTGTGTAAACAGGATCTCCCTATGTTGCCCGGGCTGGCCTTGAACTTCTGGGCTCATGTGATCCTCCTTCCTTGGTATCATAAACTGCTGGGACTACAGGCATGAGCTACTACATCTGGGTCCCCTGGCCATTTTACAGATAGAAAACTGAGACTCAGAAATGAAGCCACTTGTCCAAGTTCACCCAGCTGGTAAGACTGGAAACCACTGCTGTGTCACCCTAGGGCCCCTGTCTGGAAATCACTATCACTAATCTCTAGTTCCTTAGAATGAGCCTTTATTTATTTATTTATTTATTTTTTGCCATGGAGACTCTCTCTGTTGCCCAGACCGGAGTGCAGTGGCACAATCTCGGCTCACTGCAACCTCTGCCTCCTGGGTTCAAGTGATTCTTCTGCCTCAGCCTCCCGAGTAGCTGGGACTACAGGCACACGCCACCATGCCTGGCTAATTTTTATATTTTTAGTAGAGACGGGGTTTCACCATGTTGGTCAGGCTGGTCTTGAACTCCTGAACTTCTGATCCGCCTGCCTTGGCCTCGCAAAGTGCTGGGATTATAGGCGTGAGCCACTGCACCCGGCCGAGCCTTTATTTTTAAAACAATTGTTAATTTTTGAGACAGAGTTTTGTTCTCGTTGCCCAGGCTGGAGTGCAATGGCCTCATCTCGGCTCACTATAACCTCTGCCTCCCGGGTTCAAGCCATTCTCCTGCGTCAGCCTCCTGAGTAGCTGGGATTACAGGAATGTGCCACCACGCCCAGCTAATTTGTATTTCTTAGTAGAGATGGGGTTTCTCTGCGTTGGTCAAGCTGGTCTCGAGCTCTTGACTGACCTCAGGTGATCTGCCTGCCTCAGCCTCCCAAAGTGCTGGGATTACAGGCATCAGCCACCAGGCCTGGCTTTATTTATTATTTTTTTTTAGCAGTCTCACTCTGCCACCCAAGCTGGAGTGCAGTGGTGCAATTACAGCCTACTGCAGCCTTGACCTCCCAGATTCAAGTGATCCTACCACTTTAGGCTCCCAAGTCACTGGGACTACCACCATGGTGGTACCACCATGCCCTGCTAATGTTTTTCTTTTTTTTCTTTGAGACGGAGTCTCGCTTTGTTGCCCAGACTGGAGTGCAGTGGCGTGATCTCGGCTCACTGCAACCTCTGCCTCCTGGGTTCAAGCGATTCTCCTGCCTCAGCCTCCCGAGTAGCTGCGAATACAGGCGCATCACCATGCCCGGCTCATTTTTTGTATTTTAGTAGAGATGGGGTTTCACTGTGTTAGCCAGGATGGTCTCTACCTCCTGACCTCGTGATCCACCCACCTCGGCCTCCCAAAGTGCTGGGATTACAGGTGTGAGCCACCGTACCCGGCCTTTTTTTTTTTTTAGACAGTCTCGCTCTGTTGTCCAGGCAGGGGTGCAGTGGAGTGATCTCAGTTCATTGCAACCTCCACCTCCCGAATTCAAGCAATTCTCCTGCCTCAGACTCACGAATGGCTGTGATTACAGGCATACACAACCATGCCCGGCTAATTTTTTGTATTTTTGGTAGAGACGGGGTTTTGTCCTATTGGCCAGGCTGGTCTCGAACTCCTGACCTCAGGTGATCCGCCCACCTCAGATTCCCAAAGTGCTGGGATTACAGGCATGAGCCACCGTGCCTAGCCTAATTTGTGTGTGTGTGTGTGTGTGTGTGTGTGTGTGTATAGCGATGGGGTTTTGCCATGTTGTCCAGCCTGGTCTGGAATTCCTGAGCTCAACTCATCCACCCACCTCAGCCTCTCAAAGTGCCGAGATTATCATCCACCCACCTCAGCCTCTCAAAGTGCTGGGATTACAGGTGTGAGCTACCAAGCCAAGGTATTTTTTTTCTTTCTTTCTAAGATTCAATTCAGGTTTTTTTTTTTTTTTTCAAAGACAGGATCTCATTCTATTGCCCAGGCCAGAGTGCAGTGGTACAATCTTAGCTCACTACAGCCTTGACCTCCCAGGCTCAAAAGATCTTCCCCAGTAGCTGGGATGACATGCATGCCACTGCACCCAGCTAATTTTTCTTTTTTTGAGACAGAGTCTCACACTGTCATCTGCATTGGAGTGCAGTGGTGTGATCTTGGCTCACTGCAACCTCCGCCTCCTAGGTTCAAGTGATTCTCCTGCCTGGGATTACAGGCACATGCCACCATGCCCAGCTAATTTTTGTATTTTTAGTAGAGATGGGCCAGGGTGGTCTCGATCTTCTGACCTCATGATCCTCCAGACTCAGCCTCCCAAAATGCTGGGATTACAGGCATGAGCCACTGTGCCTGGCCACTAATTTTTTTTTAAGAGATGGAGGGTCTCCCTATGTGGCCCAGACTGGTGGATGAGCCTTTGGAGGGCAGGTGCCTGTCCCCCCTCAGCTTGCCATCCTGTGCCCCTTACCCCAGGTGTGCTTGGGCCCACCTCCACATTCACTCTTACCAATACTCCTCAGCCGATGGAACCAGCGGAGTGTGCGAGGGAAGTGGCTGTAGAATGTGGGATTCGGGGCTCCCAGGAGATCAAGAAGCATAAAGAGCTCCTAAGAAGAGAGGCCAGGACTGGAGGAGCCCAAGCAGGATGATGCCAACCCCATTTCACCTCTCCCTCCCTCACCAGAAGCCAGGGCACCCTGGTCTTACAATAGCCTGGATCCTGGTGGGGCCGGGACTGTGAGGTATAGACTCCATGAGCTGTGCCAGGTGTCGGGAGCCATAAAGGGAGTCCTTGGGTCCCCACTCCTTCAGTGCTTCTTCACCGTCCAAGAAGAGCAGCTGCAGGGTCACCGGGGCTGCCTGTGGGAGCAGCAGGGGGCGGCCAGACCCAGCTTAGGACTAGCCCGCAGCCTCAATACACCCATATTTCTTGCCCGCTTGCACAGCGTAACAGAACAAATGAGGTGTCCTCATTCATAGAACGTGGCAGTCAAGAGCACAGACTCCAAGTCCAATTGTCTGAGATCGAATCTGTTCTTCGCTGCTTCGTAACAAAGCAGACATGGGGAAGTTACTAACGTCTCAAAGCATCAGCTTCTTCATCTATAAATGGGGTTAATAAAAGTTCCTTTTTTTTTTTTTTTTGAGATGGAGTCTAGCTCTGTTGCCCAGGCTGGAGTGCAGTGGCGTGATCCAAGCTCGCTGCAACTTCTGCCTCCAGGGTTCAAGCAATTCTCTTGCCTCAGCCTCCCCGAGTAGCTGGGATTACAGGTGCCTGCCACCATGCCTGGCCAATTTTTGTGTTTTTAATACAGACAAGGTTTCACCATGTTGGCCAGGCTGATCTTGAGCTGGCCTCAAATGCCTCGGCCTCCCAGAGTGCTGGGATTACAGATGTGAGCCACAGTGCCTGGCAATAACAGTTCTTTTCAAAGGGTGAGGTTTGAATCTGGGTCTTAGAACAGTGCCTGGCATATAACTAAATAAGGGTTATCTGTGATTATTATTCCTCAAGCTCAGTTTGGTTAAAGAGACGGACCCACAAATGAATAATTATACACAGTGAAATGCGGTTGAGACAAATGCTTCGGGGAACTGTAGAGGGCATAGGAAGGAGGCTGGGGGATGACCTGGCCTGGAGAGGGCGTGGGGTCTTTTTTTTTTTTTTTTTTTAATAGAGATGAGGTTTCACCATGTTGGTCAGGCTGGTCTCAACCTCCTCACCTCCTGATCCACCCACCTCGCCCTTCCAAAGTGCTGGGATTACAGGCGTGAGCCACCGTGCCCAGCCTTTTTTTTTTTTTTTTTTTTTGAGACAGTCTCACTCTGTGGCCCAGACTGCAGTGTAGTGGTGTGATCTTGGCTCACTGCGACCTCTGCCACCCTGGTTCAAGCAACTCCTGCATCAGCCTCCCGAGTAGCTGGGATTACAGGTGCCTGCCAGCATGCCTGGCTAATTTTTGTAGTTTTATTAGAGATGGGGTTTCACCATCTTGACCAGGCTGGTCTTGAACTCCTGACCTCATGATCCACCTGCCTTGGCCTCTTAAAGTGCTGGGGTTACAGGTGTGAGCCATCTTGCCTGGCTAGGCTTTTTGGGAAGGGATGTATGCCCTGGGAGTGGGTAGGAACCAACCTGGAGCAGCAGGAAGAGTATTCCCAGCTAAGGGAACAACACAGGGCAAGGCTGTGACCAGGGAAGGGGTCACAGGGTTTGAGAGGAGTCTGGAGGGGTGAGCAAAGGCCAAAGAGTGTGGGCTTGTATGGGCTCTGTTATAGGGAGACCAGGGAGGCATGGAGCGGGGTTGAGCAGGGCAGGAGCATGATGAGATCTGTTTTTTGTCTTCTGTTTGTTTTGAGACTGAGTCTTGCTCTGTTGCTCAGACTGGAGTGCAATGGCGCGATCTTGGATCATGACAATCTCTCCCTCTTGGGTTCCAGCAATTCTCCTGCCTCAGCCTCCTGAGTAGCTGGGATTACAGGTGTCTGCCACTATGCCCAGCTAATTTTTTCATTTTTAGTAGAGACAGGGTTTCACTGTGTTGGTCATGCTGGTCTCAAACTCCTGACCTCAGGTGTCCTCCTGCTTCGGCCTCTCAAAGTGTTGGGATTAGAGGCGTGAGCCTCCGTGCCCGGCCCTTTTTAAATTTTTTTAAATTTTTAATTTTTTTTAAAGACGTGGAGCTCTTTGAAAAGGAGATATTGGAGTAGACACCTGAGTGCAGAGTAGGAAAATATCTCCGAAAAGCATATCTTTTTTATTTTTTTGAGATAGAATCTTGCTCTGTCGCCCAGGCTGGAATGCAGTGGCACAATCTCACTGCAGCCTCCACCTCCCAGGTTCCCGACCTCTTGATCCACCCGCCTTGGCCTTCCAAAGTGCTGGGATTACTGGCATAGGCCACCATGCCCAACCTTTTTTACATTTTTATAAAGATGGGGTCTCCCTATGTTGTCCAGGCTGCTCTTGAACTCCTGGCCTCAAGCAATCCTCCTGCCATGGCCTCCCAAAGTGCTGGGATTACAGGTTTGAGCTTGGTCAGAAAAGCACATTCTAGGCAAAACAAACAGCAAAGTACAAATGCCCTGAGGGAGAGTGAGCCCTGTGGGTTTGCTGAACTCAGAGGAGGTGGGTATGGCTACAGCAGAGTGAGCAAGGGGTGAGGGGAGGGAGATTGGGCTGGAGAGGCAACAGGGCACAGCTCCTGGGCTAATCAAAGAACTCTGGATTATGCTTGGAATGAGGTGGGAGCCCTGGGAGAGTTTGGGGGAGAGGAAAGAGGATCTGACATCCAGGAGGTAAAAAGATCCCTGTGGCAGCCAGGCACAGTGGCTCGAACCTGTAATCCCAGCACTTTAGGAGGTCAAGGTTAGCAGATCACCTGAGGTTGGGAGTTCAAGACCAGCCTGACCAACATGGTGAAACCCTGGCTCTACTAAAAATACAATATTAGGCTGGGTGCAATGGCTTACACCTCTAATCCCAGCACTCTGGGAGGCTGAGGTGGGCAGATCACAAGGTCAGGAGCTCAAGACCAGCCTGGCCAACATGACGAAACCCCATCCCTACCAAAAATATAAAAAATTAGCCAGGTGTGGTGGCACGTACCTGTAATTCCAGCTACTCAGGAGGCGGAGGCAGGAGAATTGCTTGAACTTGTGAGGTGGAGGTTGCAGTGGGCCGAGATCATGCCACTGCACTCCAGCCTGGCAACAAAGTGAGACTCCATCTCAAAAAAAAAGATCCCTGTGGCTCTGTGCGTGAAGCAGAGTGGGAAGACGAGAGGAATGACAATGACCAGACAAGGGAGGGTGGGGACTTGTGGAAAAGTGGAGGTAGCCCACCACCCTCCCCTACTCCTGCTCCTCACCTGTTCTTTGGCCCTACTCAGCTCCAGGTCAAGTGCCTGGGCCAGCTCCAGCATCAGGGCACAGGGCACAGCCGAATCTGTGGCCCCCACAAAGGGAGTCAACCCAGGTGGGAAGAGCTTCGAGTCGTAATGGCAGGCGAGGGTGAGGTGACGGGCAGCCCCCGGGTCCAGCGTGGCCACCACATTGCCAAAGTCCAGTGGCCCCAGGGGCGTCGAGGCCATGAAGGGATCCAGCTCCACATGCCAGCCTGCTGTCAGGGACCGCAGTGTGGCCTCCAGGAACTAGCGGCAAGAGAGAAGAGGGAGGGTGGACGGGACTGGGGAGAAGGTGGGGAAAAGGGCTACGTGACCTGAGCCATGCAGAGCAGACTGGTTGACTCTAAAGCCCCACTCTGATTTAATGGGTTTCTTTTTTTTTTTTTTTGATTTAATGGATTCCTTCCTTCCTTCCTTCCTTCCTTCCTTCCGTCCTTCCTTCCTTCCTTCCCTCCCTCCCTCCCTCCCTCCCTCCGTCCCTCCTTCCTTCCTTCTTTCTTTCTTTTTTTTTTTGAGATGGATTCTCATTCTGTCACCCAGGCTGGAGTGCAGGGGCTTGATCTCGGCTCACTGCAACCTCCGCCTCCCAGGTTCAAGCCATTATCCCGCCTCAGCCTCCTGAGTAGCTTGGGTTACAGGCGCCTGCCACAATGCCTGGCTAATTTCTGTATTTTTAGTATAGACAGGGTTTCACAATGTTGGCCAGCCTGGTCTCAAGCTCCTGACCTCAAGTGATCTACCTGCCTCATCCTCCCAAAGTCCTGGGATTACAGGTATGAGCCACTGTGCCATGCCCCCTGCTCTGATTAAAATCATCCCCTTGACACATTCCTGCTGAGTATCTACTGGGTGCCAGATGTTGGGGTGACCCTACCTCTTGAAGGCAACAGACTCATCACGGCATACCCTTAAATAGCTCTCACTGTGTGCTAAGCTCTGTTCTAGGAACTGTACAGGGTAGGGACTGCCAATACATGACCCCATTTTGCAGATAAGGAAATGGACTCAGAGAGGCTAAGAAACTAGGCCGGGCGCGGCGGCTCACACCTGTAATCCCAGCACTTCTGGGAGGCTGAGGCGGGTGGATCACAAGGTCAAGAGATCGAGACCATCCTGGTCAACATGGTGAAACCCCGTCTCTACTAAAGATACAAAAAATTAGCTGGGCATGGTGGTGCATGCGTGTAATCCCAGCTACTCAGGAAGTTGAGGCAGGAGAATTGCCTGAACCCAGGAGGCGGAGGTTGCGGTGAGCTGAGATCGCGCCATTGCACTCCAGCCTTGGCAACAAGAGCGACACTCCATCTCAAAAAAAAAAAGAAAGAAAGAAACTAGTCCAAGGCCGGGTGTGGTGGCTCACGCCTGTAATCCCAGCACTTTGGGAGGCCGAGATGGGTGGATCACAAGGTCAAGAGATCGAGACCATTCTTGTCAACATGGTGAAACCCCATCTCTATTAAAAATACAAAAAATTAGCTGGGCACGGTGGTGCATGCCTGTAATCCCAGCTACTCAGGAAGCTGAGGCAGGAGAATTGCCTGAACCCAGGAGGCGGAGGTTGTGGTGAGCTGAGATCGCGCCATTGCACTCCAGCCTGGGTAACAAGAGCGAAACTCCGTCTCAAAAAAAAAAACCTAGTCCATGGTCACAATCTAAGTGAATGAGATAGCACTGGGACTCAGGCAATATTTAAATGACTTTTTTTAAATTTTTTAAAATATGGAGTCTCACTCTGTCACCCATGCTGGATTATAGTGGCACTATCTTAGCTCACTGTGGCCTTCACCTTCTGGGTTCGAGTGATTCTCGTGCCTCAGCCTCCCGAGTAGCTGAGACTACAGGTACCCACCACCATGCCCAACTAATTTTGTATTTTTAGTAGAGATGGGTTTCACCATGTTGGCCAGGCTGGTCTCAAAGCCCTGACCTCAAATGATCTGCCTGCCTCGGCCTCCCAAAGTGCTGGGATTACAGGCATAAACCACTGCACTTGGCCTTTAAATGACTCCTGATGCTTTCCAGGAAACAATAGATGGACCGCAGCACCAGCTTGGAGCCAACCTGCTTGGGTTCAAGCCCTAGGTCTATCACTTTCTAAAACTGTTATATTTATTTATTTATTTATTTTTTATTATTTTTTTTGAGATGTAGTTTTGCTCCTGTTGCCCAGGCTGGAGTGCAATGGTGTGATCTCAGTTCACTGCAACCTCTGCCTCCTGGGTTCAAGCACTTCTCCTGCCTCAGCCTCCAGAGTAACTGGGATTACAGGCATGTGCCACCACGCCTGGCTAATTTTTTTTGTATTTTTAGTAGAGACGGGGTTTCTAATTTTTTTTTGTATTTTTAGTAGAGACGGGGTTTCTAATTTTTTTTTGTATTTTTAGTAGAGACGGGGTTTCTAATTTTTTTTGTATTTTTAGTAGAGACGGGGTTTCTAATTTTTTTTTGTATTTTTAGTAGAGACGGGGTTTCTAATTTTTTTTGTATTTTTAGTAGAGACGGGTTGGTCAGGCTGATCTTGAACTTCCCACCTCAGGTGATCCACCCGCCTCGGCCTCCCAAAGTGCTGGGATTACAGGCGTGAGTCACCACACCCAGACAAGGTCTACCATTTATCTGTAGGATTTGCACAATGTGTATAACTTCTCTGAGCCTCAGTTTCCCCATCTGCATAATGAAGATCATATTGGCACCCACCTTATAGGGCTGTCTATGCCTAGCACACAGTAAGCTTTTGGGGATATTAAGGTGGGCAGTACAGCCTGCTGGTTTGTAACTAGCATGGGAGTCTAGAGTCCGATTAACTCCAGTCAGTTCTCCAGTTCCTCCTCTTAGGTCCTTTGGGATCTTGAACAGGATGCTTATTTCCGATTCCCTGGGGTCCTAGGGGGTCAGGGACTGGAGGTGGGTCCCTTTACCTTTCTGACTTGCAGATTTCCCGGGCTGCCTGGGGTTCGCACAACCAGCAGAGGGCGCAGATAAGTGCCCCAGAGACGCTGCGGGTCCAGTTGTCCCACCACCCTCCGCAGCCGGGCTTCGGGGAGGCTTCCAACCAACGGGACCTTAAGAAGGAGGTGGGATAGGGAAGGGAAGAATGAGAGCAACCCCTAATTTCGACCCTACCCGGGTGCCATCACTCCCAAGGAGCCCCGGGTCCTCTTCCTAATCTGCGGCCTCCAGCATCACAGACTTCTAGGATAAATCCAAGACTCAGGAAAAGTCCTTCCAAGCCCATCAGCTCCCGGCTACGTCAAACTTGATGGGGAAATCGAGGCCCAGTGAGAGAGGGGAAAGGTTCGGGACTCTTCCAAATAGTTGACCAGAGGCGTAGAACCCTGCACCCCCTGTCTCACTATTCCAGACCCTTCCTCTTAAGAGGATGCTACTATTGCAGAACCAGCCCGAAGCCTTATTCCGTTGGTAAGGGACATGCGCTCAGATGACAGAGACGGTGACACCTGCGGTTAGGGCCGTACGCTAAAGCCACGTCAACCTTAGGCTCTAGGTAACGGGGGGAAGGGAATGAGGGTCCCCGCCGTGCCTGGGTCCCCGCCCAGCCTCACCCGCAGCTCCCGGCCCAGCGGCAGCTCCTCAGTCCTGCGGTGCCAGCCGCTCCAAATGGTATAGAAGGCCGAGCCCACGGCCAGCGCCATCAACAGGGGCAAGAGCCGAACCCGCGGTAGCAGGCGGCGCTTCGGCAGCGAAGGTGGCTCCATGAGGCCACGTTCCCCGAGCCGCAGGCGGGGCCGCCCGCGGCCCCCGGAACGCATGGCAGCTTTGCCCTGAACCCAGTCCCAGACCGCGGATTGAGTTTAGGCCCAGCCAAGTTCCACCCCATGGAATCGATGGGCCAATGAGCAACAGCAGCGGCTGCACCAGCGCGCCCCAAAGCGAGCAGTGAAACCAATGAGAACTGTGGTCCTGAGGACACGCCTTCCAGCCGCCCTTGGGTATTAGGGTTGGTTCCCCTGAGAATTGCACGGCCCAAAAGGGAGCGCGAAAGGGGTAGGCTCCGCCTTAGCTGAGAAGCGAAAGCCAATGAGCAGCGTTTGATCGTGGAAAACATTCGCCTTCCCAGGCGCAGGTCTATGCCCCTCCCGGATGTAGGCACGGGATTGGTGGCGCAGGGTCGGAAAGATAAGTAGAAACGTCAATAACCCGTCCCAGAGGGAAGAGGGGCGGTGCCTATTTCCGAAGCGAGGAGCAGATTGGCTTCACGGAGGCCGCGCCCCCGAAGTCAAGGCTGGCGGGCATTTGGAAATAGCTTGTCATTTCCCTCCTTCAAGCTGTACCATTCTACAACAAAACGGTTTGAATCAGACTGCCTTTCCTTTTCTCTTCATTGTCATGAACCTCTGCCCAGTGTGGTTCCGACTTGCCTCGAACCCCTACCCGAGGCTTTTATTCCATCATTGTGCACCATTGGTGGGAAATGCTACGACCACGCCTCCACTTGCTGGTTGGCTTTGCGCATGCGCCACAGGAAGTGGGTCGCAGGAAGAGGAAGTCCCGCCTCTCTCTCCTCAGGCAGCAGCAACGCGGAGGAAACCGGAGTGAACCGAGAGCTTAGCCAACATGTGAGGCCGGGCTAAGGCATAGGCGGCGGGAATGTGGTTGAGGGTGGGAATTTGGCCGATTGAGGGTGGGAAGGGGTGAGCAGAGATGGGGGGCAGGGGCAAGATGTTTTAGGGATTGAGCGTCCTGCTTTTCTCCTGATGAGTTTGAAAACGTGCGTGCGGCCTTTGACGCGTCCTAAGTTCGGAGGAGGCGACAGCTTAATTAGATAACTCGCTGGGCCGGGCGCGGGGGCTCCTGCCTGTGATCCCAGCACTTTGGGAGGCCAAGGCAGGAGCATTGCTAGAACACAGGAGTTCGACACCAGCCTAGACAACATAGCGAGACCCCGTCTCTACAAAAAAAAATTTTTTTTAATTATGAAAAACATGTTTTAAAAGATAACAAGGTTGGGAGGGTTCCTATATAAATTGCTGTTAAGGGGCAGCAATTTTACGAATACTGGAAGAGGGAAGTTAGTACTTTTTTTTTTTTTTACCTTTTTTGAGACGGAGTCTTGCTGGAGTGCAGTGGAGCGAGCTCGGCTTACTGCAGCCTCCGCCTCCCGGTTCAAGCAATTCCCGTGCCTCAGCCTCCCAAGAATCTGGGACTACAGGCGTGCGCCACCATGCCCGGCTAATTATTTTATTTTTAGTAGAGACGAGTTTTCACCATGTTGGCCAGGATGGTCTTGATCTCCTGACCTCGTGATTCACCTGTCTTGGCCTCCCAAAGTGCTGGGATTACAGGCGCGAGCCACCGTGCTCTGCCAGAAGTGTGGACTTTTAGAAATAATGATTTGAGATAAGGGATTTATCCTGATCATTTGAGCTGGAGACAGGTATGTTTTAGACCTAATTCAAACCTTCTACAGATAACGAGTCATTGGCATGATTTTGTGCATTTATTAATTTAGCAAATATTACATTGAGTGCTTATGTAAAAGATGCTGCTTAAGCCACGTAGGATACATCAATGAATGAAACCCCCAGTCCCTAAGGGGAGAAAAAATCTCTCTCTCTTTTTTTTTTTGAAAGAGAGTCTTGTTCTGTCACTCAGGCTGGAGTGCAGTGGTGTAATCTTGTTTCACTGCAACCTCCACTTCAGGGTTGAAGCGATTCTCCTGCCTCAGCCTCCTGAGTAGCTACAGTTACAGGCGCCCGCCACCACTTCTGTATTTTTAGTAAAGAGCAGGTTTCACCATGTTGGCCAAGCTGGTCTGGAGCTCCTGACTGCAAATGATTCACCTGCCTCCACCTTCCAAAGTGCTGGGATTACAGGTGTGAACCTGTGAGCCTAGCTGGGGTTTTACTTTCTACACTGAGATGGGGGAGCCATGGGAGGGTTTTGTTTTGTTTGTTTGTACTTTGAGTAGAGACGGGTTTCACCGTGTTGGCCAGGCTGGTCTCAAACTCCAGATGCTAAGTGACCCACTGTCTCGGCCTCCTGAAGTGCTGGGATTACAGGCGTTAGCCACCACACCCGGACCCTTGGAGGGTTTTGAAGAGGGACATGTTATGATTTAGGTTTTAGCAAAACCCCTTCAGACCATTCTGGGGAGAACAGACTGTCGGGGAGCATAAGTAGAGGCAGAGAGACCAGAAAGATTCTAGGACAGAGATGATGGAGGCCATTTCCTACAGATTTAATATAGGATGTGAGGGAAAAGGAGGAATCAGGGTGACAGAGTTTTTGCCCAGAGAACTAGAAGTATAGAGTTACCGTCAAAGCAGATGGGGAACACTGTGGGTAGGGTAGGCTCGGGTGGTTGGGTGATCTGGATCTGTATCTGGGATATACACAGTTGAAAATGTCTGTTATGGCGGGCATGGTGGCTCATGCCTGTAATCCCAGCACTTTGGGAAGCCTAAGCACATGGATCACCTGAAGTCAGGAGTTTGAGACCAGCCTGGCCAACATGGCAAAACCCCGTCTCTACTAAAAATACAAAAAAATTAGCTTGGTGTGGTGGTGGTCACCTATAACCCTAGTTCAGGAGGCTGAGGCAAGAGAATCGCTTGAACCCAGGAGGTGGAGGTTGCATTGAGCTGAGATTGCAGCATTGCACTCCAGCCTGAGTGACAGCAGGTCTCTGTCTTTTAAAAAAAAAAAAAATGGCTGGCAGAGTGGTTAATGCCTGTAATCCCAGCACTTTGGGAGGCTGAGGTGGGAGGATCACCTGAGCTCAGGAGTTTGAGACCAGCTTGGCCAACATGGTAAAACCCCATCTCTACGAAGAAAATACAAAAAGTAGCTGGGTGTGGTAGCAGAGATCTATAATCCCAGCTACTCTCGGGTGGGTGAGGCAGGAGAAATTGCTTGAACTTCAGGGGCGGAAGCTGAGATTCAGTTGTGGTGAGCTGAGATTGCGCCACTGCACTCCAGCCTGGGGAACAGAGCAAGGTTCCATCTCAAAAAAAAAAGAGAGAAAGAAAAAGAAAATGTCTGTTAGGCATTCAGTTCATGATACCCAGAGATCAGGCTGAGCAGGAGGACGGGCATGCTGGGGCAAGACTGGGGAGACTTGAGGCCAAGGCCCTGACCACCCATTCTTACAGCTCCAGCTGCTCTCACTTATGGGTTTTGCTTTTGTCCATGCAGGAGCCTCCTCAACAAGCCCAAGAGTGAGATGACCCCAGAGGAGCTGCAGAAGCGAGAGGAGGAGGAATTTAACACAGGTCCACTCTCTGTGCTCACGCAGTCCGTCAAGAACAACACCCAAGTGCTCATCAACTGCCGCAACAATAAGAAACTCCTGGGCCGCGTGAAGGCCTTTGATAGGTGAGTGCTGAGTCCTGGGAGGTGTTCTGTGCAGGCCTGGAGAGGCTGTCCCAGCTCTAGTCTGAAGAGCCCAAAGACAGGTTTTTCAGAAGCCTGGGGTGTATGGCCAGGTGCAGCGGCTCACGTCTGTCATCCCAGCACTTTGGGAGGCCAAGGCAGGTGGATCACCTGAGGTCAGGAGTTCATGACCAGCCTGGTTAACATGGCAAAACCCCGTCTCTACTAAAAATTTAAAAGTTGGCTGGGGGTGGTGGTGTGTGCCTGTATTCACAGGTACTCGGGAGGCCAAGGCACGAGAATCACTTGAACCCAGGAGGTGGAAGTTGCAGTGAGCCCAAATTGCAGCACTGCACTCCAGCCTGGGTGACAGAGCGAGACTCTTATCTCATAAAAGAAAAGCCTGGGGTCTAAGCACCCTAAAACCCCAAGGTATGATTGTCTCTCAGCGCCCCTCTGGCTGTGCAGTATGGCGGTTATGGGCATATACGGGAAGCCAGCCTGCCTGGCTTCATGCCCCAGCTCTGCCTGTTAGCAGCCAAGTAACCTTCAGCAAGTGACTGTTTAGTTTATATAGTGGCAATCATCAGAGATGGTCTGTCTGAAGAGGCAACAGTGAACAGACTTGAATCAGAGGAGGGAGCAAGCTGGGGTCTGCATGTTTCAGCCAGTGAGAACAGCAGGTCATTTTTCCTCTCTGGGCTTCAGTTTCCTTATTTGAAATATGCATGCGCGCCTATAGTCCCAGCTACACAGAAGGCTGATGCATAAGGATGGCTTAAGCCTGGGAGGTGGAGGTTGCGGTGAACTGAGATCACGCCTCTGTACTCCAGCCTGGGCGCCAGAGTGAAGACTCCATCTAAAAAACAAAAAACAAAAAAAAAGAAAGAAAGAAAGAAAAAAAAACGAAATACATGCATCATCATACCCTTCATGAAACAATTGTGAGGATAAAGGATGTTATGCATGAAAAGCACTTGGCGCAGTTCCTGACACATAAATGCTCAGCAAGCACATAGCCTGCAGCCTTTCATTCATTAGCATTTGGGAAGTATGTTCCTCAACAGTGCGCTGAAGCTGAATTCAGGAACGTTTTTGCTACTAGCTATTCTGTGACCATCATCAAGTCTTTCACTCTGAGCCTCAGTTTCCTTTTAGCTCAGATGAGAATAAGAACAGCAGGAAGGCCGGGTGCGGCGCGGTGGCTCAAGCCTGTAATCCCAGCACTTTGGGAGGCTGAGGCGGGTGGATCATGAGGTCAAGAGATCGAGACCATCCTGGTCAACATGGTGAAACCCCGTCTCTACTAAAAATACAAAAAATTAGCTGGGCACGGTGGCACATGCCTGTAATCCCAGCTACTCAGGAGGCTGAGGCAGGAGAATTGCCTGAACCCAGGAGGCGGAGGTTGCGGTGAGCCGAGATCGCGCCATTGCACTCCAGCCTGGGTAACAAGAGCGAAACTCCACCAAAAAAAAAAAAAAAAAAACAGCAGGAAGTATGAAGCCCAGGAGGAAGAGAGACCTGGCTACGAACTTCCTCCCGCCATACTTGAGTTCCCACACTAGAGGCTTATTGTTCTTTGTTGTTGTTGTTGTTTGAGACACAATCTCACTCTGTCACTCAGACTGGATTGCAGTGTAACTATCATGGATCACGATGACCTTGACCTTCTGGCCTCAAATTTGCCTACCTCAGCCTCCTGGATGGCTGGGACTACAGGTGCACTCCTCCACACCTGGCTAATTGTTCTATTTTTCGTAGAGATGAGGTCTTGCTATCGTTCCCAGGCTGGCCTCAAACTAGTGAGCTCAAGCGATTCTCCCACCTCAGCATCCCAAAGTGCTGGGATTACAGGTGTGAGCTACCTGGCCTTATTCTTTTTTTTTTTTAAGTTGAATTTTCTTCTTCCTTTTTTTCTAGCTTCCTCCTCTGCCCCCATCTGCCTCCTACCTCTTCACCCCGCTAGCCTGTCATCCTAGCATATATCCTGCCACATTAGACCCACATGCACTGCAATCCATGCATTCACGCAATCCTGTGTGGTGTTAGTTAACAGCTTTATGAAGCTATAATTACCATGATATTCTAAAAGTGCTTTTAAAACAAAACCTGGCCAGGCATGGTAACTCACACCTGTAATCCCAGCACTTTGGGAAGCCAAGGCAGACAGATCACTTGAGGTCAGGAGTTGGAGACCAGCCTGGCCAACATGGTGGAACCCCATCTCTACTAAAAGTACAAAAGTTAGCTGGATGTGGTGGCGGGCACCTGTAATCCCAGCTACTCAGGAGGCTGAGGCATGAGAATCACTTAAAACCAGAAAGCAGAGGTTGCAATGAGCTGAGATTGTGCCACGGCACTCCAGCTTGGGTAACAGAGTAAGACTGTCTAAAAAAAAATAATAATCATCTCCAACGGCCTTGTGAGGAAGGTACTGTGATTGTCTTCCTTCTTAAAGGAGGAGCAAAAAAAAAAAAAAAGAAAAGAAAAGGAGCAAACTAGACCAAGGTGGGTGGATCACCTGAGATCAGGAGTTCGAGACCAGCCTGGCCAACATGGCAAAACTCCGTCTCTACTAAAAATACAAAAATTAGCCAGGCATGGTGGTACACTTCTGTAATCGCAGCTACTCAGTAGGCTGAGGAAGGAGAATTGCTTGAACCCAGGTGTAGGGCTGAGGGCCCCACAGGGTCGTCGTGGTCAGCTTTATGCTGTGCTGAGGCGCAGGATCCGAGAAATAAGGAGACGGGACACAGAAGTACAAAGAAAACGCAGCTGGGTTTGGAGGGCCACACCACCTATAAGCGGAGTCAGGCGAGGCCCCAAATGTCCAGAAGCGTGAGTATTTATTGTGTATAGGTTAGGGGGCAGGGCAGTGAGTGAAATCATCTTTAAGGATAGTGATAGGGTCATGAGCAATAAAACATGGGGTCCACAGCAAGTGCCGTGTGCAGTAAGGGATCCACCCCCACTAGGTCACCAAGGCTTGCAGGTGGGCCGTGCACAGTGAAGAGAGTGCAGTATGCAATACTTCTATCTATGGGCAGACTACTTCTAAGAAGATTTATAGGAGGATGCTTTAAGTTACATAGCAGTGACAGAGCTGTCAAGGTTACCATCACCTTCTGGCAGCTTCCAATGAGTTCTATGGGAAGATGCTTTTCAAGCAACACAGTAGCAAGAGCTGATAAAGTTCATAGTCACCAAGGTAGATTGCCCGTCTGAGGGCAGCCTTCCACAAAAACTGGAGCAAGGTCCTACAACTCCTTTATCAGGAGGAGTGGCTCTCACCCCAAGCCTGCCAGACAGCAGGTATCTTTACGATACTGAATGCTGCCACCTGGGCCATGGATTCTTGTCCTGGCATAACTGTTTTTCCCTTAAATCATGCTCTGCACTGTGTCTGCTCTAGGCATTCCTCCGATTATAAGCTGCTTATTCCTTCATTCATGCTCTGTACTGTGTCCACTCCAGGCATTCCTCCGATTATGAACTAAGATATAATTATAGGTATATATGTAGGGAAATATTCTTTAGGCACTCATACTATCAACTATTATTATATGATTATATATAGAGGATTATATAAAGGGATTCTTCAAGCCCTAATTCTATAAAGTAATATATGATTATGTAAAGGATTATATAAAAGGAAATAGCTGAGTAGTAACACTATAAAGTGAGATATTCTTCAAGCCCTAACTGTGCCAGGGTTCTGCTTAGCTCTCATTCCTCGGTGCCTATATGGGGGTTACCCACACCCAGGAGGGAGGTGGAGGTTGCAGTGAACTGAAATTGCACCACTGCACTCCAGCCTGTGGGACAGGAGCAAGACTCCATCTCAAAAAAAAAAAAAAAAAAAAAAAATCAAGCTGTCACAGAGCGGTGCAGTCTTTTGCCTCAGCCTCAACCTAAGGACTGGCAGAGTTGGCCTGGGCAGCTTGGTCATCCTGGCCTAGCACCTGCACCCTTCCCCAAGCCATGTTGCTGGAGGAGGCGAGCAGCAAGCAGTAGGGCGGGCTGTCAGAGGCATTCCCTCACTCCCAGTGCCTCTCCTCCCTGTTCCCCACCAGGCACTGCAACATGGTGCTGGAGAACGTGAAGGAGATGTGGACTGAGGTACCCAAGAGCGGCAAGGGCAAGAAGAAGTCCAAGCCGGTCAACAAAGACCGCTACATCTCCAAGATGTTCCTGCGTGGGGACTCGGTCATCGTGGTCCTGCGGAATCCGCTTATCGCCGGCAAGTAGGAGCCACCTATCCCTGTCAGTCAACAGAACTCACTCCCCTGTCCTACAGAGACCGCTGCCGCTGATGTTGAGAATAATAAAGCTCTGTGTTTTTTTCTAGTGGTATCTGTTCCCAGAGCCTTGTGAGTGGGATGGCTTCAGGAGGGCTTGGGGGAGGCAGCTGGTATAGGACTGAACGCTGGGATCAGCACCCCTGAGCAAGGAGAGGCCCTGGCTCTGCACCATTGAGTTCTCTTTCCCCATCTGCAAAGCAAACAGGTTGGATGGAAATGAGCACCCAGTTGTGGTACTGGAGAATGTTTTAGCCCTCCTGCTTTAATCTTTCTGAGCATCATCTTCTCATTCTGTTGCTCCCTTCTGTGCCTCTCATAATGAGTTGGTCTCGCTTGATCAAAGTATCTTCTGGAGGCAGGCAGATCACCTGAGGTCAGAAATTCAAGACCAGCCTGGCTAACATGGTGAAATGCTGTCTCTACTAAAAATTGGCGAGGCGGGTGGAACACCTGAGGTCAGGAGTTCAAGACTAGCCTGGACAACATGACAAAACTCCGTCTCTACTAAAAATAAAAATTAGCCCAGTGTGGTGGCTCATGCCTGTAGTCCCAACTACTTGGAAGGCTGAGGCAAGATAACCGCTTGCGGTGATCTGAGATTGCGCTACTGTACTCCAGCCTGGGTGACAGAGCAAGACTCCATCCCAAAAAGTATATATGTGTGTCTCTTGGCCTTATTTTACATTTGTCCCTTCAGCAAACATCCCCCAAATGCCTCCTCTGTGCCCAGCCCTGTGTTGCAATGCAGGGGCACCAGGTACCCAAGAGCCCCAATCTACCCTCAAAGACAAGAGGATTAGACAGGTGATTTTAGCAGTCAGTACCGCCAGCACGGGGCTGAGGTGAGAGCATTGCTTCAGCCCGGAGAATGATTGTGAGGTTTAGACATATCTATAAGCTAAATCTATATCTATAAACTAAATAGCTAAGAAAGAGAAAAAAGGACCAGGCATGGTGGCTCACGCCTGTAATCCCAGCACTTTGGGAGGCCTAGGCAGATGGATCAGCTGAACTCAGGAGTTTGAGACCAGCCTGGCCAACATGGTGAAACCTTGTCTCTACTAAAAATACAAAATTAGCCAGGTGTGGTGGTGCACCCCTGTGTTCCCAGCTACTTGGGAGGCTGAAGCAGGAAAATAGCTTAAAACCAGAAGACAGGTTGCACGAGCCCAGAACTTACACTGCACTCCAGCTGGGGCAACAGAATGAGACTCTCTCTCAATAAAAAAGAGAAAAGAAAGCTCTCAGTAGCTAAATACTGCTGGTGATCCTGACTAACACTTGCTGAGCTTTTTATGTGCCAGGCCAGGCTTAGCGCTTTTCAAACGTCCCAACAGCTCTGGGGTGGGCCTGTTAATTTATTATCCCCTTTTCCAGAAGAGGGAACTGAGACACAGAGAAATGATGTCACTTCCCAGGAGCAACCAGCCAGGAAGTGGTGATGCTGTGATTTAAACTCACCTCCCCAGCCTGTAGCTTCACTCCTGAGCTCTGCTGCCGCTCGTATTCAACTTTATTGCCCTTGAGAGGAATTCTCTGACAAATACTGGGAGACAGATGGAGGTTCGAAAGGGAGGCATTGAGTATTGGGGGGATTAAGGATGTTCCCTGTGTTGCTCTGACACACTCATTGTGTGCTCCCTGTATCTTTGGGTTTTTTCTTTTTTGGTTTTGAGACAGTCTCATTCTGTCTGCCAAGCTGGAGTGCAACAGCACAATCATGGCTCACTGTAGCCTTGACTTCCCAGGCTCAAGTGATCCTCTTGCTGTCCTTTTGTAGAGGTAGGATTTTGCTTGTTACCCACGCTGGTCTTAAAACTCCTGGGCTCAAGTGATTCTCCCACCTCAGCCTCCCAGAGTACTGGGATTACAGGTGTGAGCCACTATGCCTGGCCCTCCGCCCCGTATCTTTGTCTCTGCCTGTGTCTCTGTCCTCTGGATATAGGCAAGCATCGGAAGGATGCAAGAGTTAGCAGGCCTAAGGTCAGTGCACACTCAGTGAGATGTGTGGCCTGCTCTGAGCTGTGAAAGGCACATCCTAGGGCCAGGCTTGGTGGTTCATGCCTGTAATCCCAGCACTTTGGGAGGCCGAGGCCGGCAGATCACGAAGTCAAGAGATGGACACCATCCTGGTAAACATGGTGAAACCTGGTCTCTACTAAAAATACAAAAATCAGCTGGGCATGGTGGTGCATGCTTGTAGTCCCAGCTGCTCAGAAGGCTGAGGCAGGAGAATCGCTTGAACCCGGGAGGCAGAAGTTGCAGTGAGCCAAGATGGCGCCACTGCACTCCAGTCTGGCAACAGAGCGAGATTCCATATCAAAAAAAGACAAGGAAGGGAGGGAGGCAGAGAGAGAGGGCCTGAGAGCATTGTGGCAGAGCTGGGGCCCTGCAGCAGTGAGAGGCCTGATATACAGAAGGCAATGCGTTGTGGGTTATAAAGGTGTATATTTACTATGTTAATTGCAGACCATCTGTGGGGTGGATACTAGAGCTATCCCATTTTATAGCTAAGATCGTTGAGGCCAAGAGAGGGTAAGCAACTTGCTCACGGTCACCCAGTTAGGAAAGAATGGTACTATTTTCAAACACAGGGAGCCAGGTTCTCACAAACAGTCTTACCTCTTGGGTAGCAAGATGGAGCTCCAGTACCCTAACTTTATAGAAAGTTGGGGCAATGGTGCTGTCACAGGCGGTCACCTGGGGTTTGGTTCTGATACAGGAAGCAGCACAGCCCTGGAGTCACAGTCCGGGTGCCGATCCTGCCTGCCTTCCCCAGTTGTTGACTTGTACTTATTGAGAAATAGAACTTGGTTTCCCCACCTTGCAGGCTGGCACCAAAGATTCCAGTCCTGGTGGCTCCGCTCAGCTGGTCTGAATTTCCTTCCTCACCTCCTGCCCCCCAGGCTTTCTATTGCTCCCGCCTTCAGAGGGTGAAATGAAAGCAGAGGCAGCAGGAATAGCCCTTTGCAAACTGGCCCAGTGTTGCCCACATACCAGCGCCAGGCAGGGTCCTAATTGTAACTCGTGGGCGTGTCAGGTGACGCTAGGATGCAGGTACCATCTGTTTGTATGACTGGCATAGATCACATGTAACATGGCCACTTGGGGACTCAGGCAGGGGGGACAGTGGCAGTGGGTGTCCCGTTTTCTTGTAGCAACACATGGATAAATTGGAGCAAAGCCACCACGGACCCCTATGCCACCAGGCAGCCTGCCTTGGTCATTTCCCTTTGTGACATGTCCAAGAAGATGCTTCTACCCAAGAAAGAAAAAAAGCTACTGTTTTATACTTTATTTACAAGGGCGGTGTCCTAAGGCGTGTCCCACCCCATGAGAATCCACAAGGTGGGGGGAAGGGGAAGGGGACAGCAGTGGGAAGGGGAGGAGGGCAGCAAGGCCACAAGCTTGAGGCTGAGTTCAGCTTTGGGGCACATATGTCCAGGGAAAATGCTCAGAAACACCCACACAGTTTGCGTATGGGTAGGGGGAGGATTTAGGGCTGAGGGTCTTGTGGGTGTATATACAGGTGGTCCAGCCACGGTGAGACTGTCAGCATGCCCCCTCATTCTCCCAGGTCCCACGGGCCGCCATTGTCAGGACGGTGGGGATATGCGTCCTCACTCTGCAGCCAGTACTGACCCTGGCTACTCTGGAAGTAAGGTTTCAGCTGCAAGGCCTGCCTTGCTTCACCTGTGCTCCTGTCCACACCAAATCCCCCTCTTGGACCCAGTGCCTCTCATGTTACTATCTCCGGCTCGCCCCTCTCCTGAGAGCCCCAGACCCTTACACTCAGTGTCCTGTCCTGCAGTATCTTACAAACACCGCCGGTCTAACATTTCCAAAGAGCACACATAGTTCTCCCCACCCCAAACCCAGTCTCCCTGTCTTTCCTCTCTCCACCATCCCAAACCAAGGAGTGCTCTGCTGCTGTGTCCTCACGTGATCCATCATGAAATCCTCTCATCTCTACCTTTGAAACAGCTTCAAATCTGACTGCATACCCTTCAGTGCCTCCATCCTGGTCCAGCCACCGTCACTTCCCACCTGCAGTCCCCCTCCTTGCTGGGCTCCAGCTTCCACCCCTACCCCTGATAATCTGTCCCACTACAGTGCAGACAAGAGGGCTCTGTTTAAAACAGCCCATTAGGGCCAGGTGCAGTGGCTCATGCCTATAATCCCAGCAATTTGGGAGGCTGAGGCAGGCAGATCACTTGAGGTCAGGGGTTTGAGACCAGCCTGGCTAACGGGGAAACCCCATCTCTACTGAAAATACAAAAATTAGCCAGGCGTGGTGGTGGGTACCTGTAATCCCAGATACTCAGAGGCTTGAACATGGGAGGTGGGGGGCTGCAGTGAGCCAGGATCGCACCACTGTACTCCACACTAAGTGACAGAGTGAGACTCTGTCACAAAAGGAAAAAAAGAAAAAACATTATTTGGAGCCAGGCACAGTGGCTCACACCTATAATCCCAGCACTTTGGGAGACCTATGTGGTAGGATTGCTTGAGCCAGGAATTCAAGACCGACCTGGGTAACAGTGAGATCCTGTCCAATTTTTAAAAAAATAAAGGCCTGGTGACTCACACTTGTAATCCCAGCACTTTGGGAGGCCGAGGTGAGTGGATCATGAGGTCAGGAGTTCGAGACCAAGCCTGGACAGCATGGTGAAACCCCATCTCTACTAAAAAATTAGTTGGGCATGGTGGTGTGTGCCAGTAATCCCAGCTACTTGGCAGGCTGAGCAGGAGAATTTCTTGAACCTGGGAGGTGGAGGTTTGCAGTGAGCCAATATTGGGTCATGGCACTCCAGCCTGGGTGAAGGGGTGAGACTCTGTCTCAGACAAAATAATAATTAAAATAAAATAAAAGGCCGGCCGCGGTGGCTCACGCCTGTAATCCCAGCACTTTGGGAGGCCGAGGTGGGTAGATCACCTGAGGTCAGGAGTTCAAGACCAGCCCGGCCATCAGGGTGAAACCCCATCTTAAAAAATAAATAAATAAATAAAATATTACCTCCAAGAGACACTCCTAAGAATATCCAGTGCATCTGAAATAAAATCCCAACTTGTGTGCCCCTTGCCCACTTCTCTCTCCCCATCTGTTGGCTCTGACTTAATTCTACTCCAGCCGAGGCTGGGCACCTTCCTGCCCTAGAGCCTTCACATATGCTGTTGCTTCAGCCTAGAATCCCGTTCTCCACCTCTTCCCAAAGTGATCTCCTTCACCTCTTTCTGGCGTGGCTTAAATGTCACCTCCTTGGAGAGGGCCTCCCAGACCCCTCTAGGCCCCCTTCTCACTTCCCTTCATAACCATGCCACAGCATGTGTGGAACTCGGTGTTTTGTGTTCACGGTCTGTTTTCCCCATTAAGTTGTCATCTCCAGGAGGGCAGGGACCTTTTTTCCGTTTCCTTCACCGTTCCCCCAGCGTCCTCCATACTGGGCCTGGCACGCAGTAGGCACTCAATCAATCCGTGCTAACTGAACAGATACAGGGATCCGGCCCCCTAGCAGTAACTTTCTAACACCCGGCTGGCCTCATTCCTGGGCCCTGGGAGGGTCCCCAAGGACAAGGCGCGGCCGGTAGGAACCTCTATGGGGCCGGAGCCGGAGCGCAGGGCCCGGGAGACGCACTCCGGGAGGTGGCGCTGCTCCTCGCCCAGGCTGCGTCGCAGGCGGCAGTGGTGCCAGCCACGGCGGATCTCCGACTGCACCTGCGATACGGTGGTGCTCAGAGGCGGCGCCGTACCCCGCGCGGCCACCAGAGGGCGCGGGAGGCGGTCGGGGCTCTTCCTACCTCCTTGTTGATGAAGCAGTAGAGGACGCTGACCAGGAAGCCCTGTCAGAGGAGGCGCGGGTGCGGGTGGTGTTACATCTCTGGTGGGGGTAGGACGGTAACCGCCTCCGCTCCACCCCGTTTTTGTTTTTAAGAGTCGGAATCAGGCTCTTGTTGCCCAGGCTGCAGTGCAGTGGCGTGACCTCGGCAAACCTCCACCTCCCGGGTTCAAGTGATTCTTCTGCCTCATCCTCCTGAGTAGCTGGGATTACAGGCTCCTGCCATCACGCCCGGCTAATTTTTTTTTTTTTTTTTTAGTAGAGACAGCATTTTACCATATTGGTCAGGCTGGTCTTGAACCCCAATCTCAGGTGATCTGCCTGCCTCGGCCTCCCAAAGTGCTGGTATTACAGGAGTGAGCCACAGTGCCTGGCCTATATGCCTATCTGTAGTGTGTTTAGCATGTGTCTCTCCGACTGGAGGGTAGGGTTCTTGACTGTATCCCTGTGATAAGCCTGTAAGAGTGCTTAGTATATATACATGCTCAGTAATTTTTTGCTGAATTTAATGAATGAACAGCTTTGTTCAGTGAGACTGTTATTGTCCACACTTTAGAGATGAGAAAACTGAAGTCGAATTAGGTAGAGCAGGTTGGGGACTCAGGTAAGCCAAGCAAGTGCAGGGTGGGCCTTCAATTTTGGAATAAATCTTTCCTTAGATTCTGCACGTTGGCACCTCACCTCTCCCTCCCCTCAACCCCAAGTTGAAGACCACACAGCTAGCAAACAGCTAGAAAGTGACAGAACCGGCCGGGCGTGGTGGCTCACGCCTATAATCCCAGCACTTTGGGAGGCCGAGGCGGGTGGATCACGAGGTCAAGAGATCGAGACCATCCTGGTCAACGAGGTGAAACCCCATCTCTACTAAAAATACAAAAATTAGCTGGGCATGGTGGTGCACGCCTGTAGTCCCAGCTACTCGGGAGGCTGAGGCAGGAGAATTGCTTGAACCCAGGAGGCAGAGGTTGCGGTGAGCCGAGATTGTGCCATTGCACTCCAATCTGGGTAACAACAGCGAAACTCGGTCTCAAAAAAAAAGAAAGAAAGAAGAAAGAAAGAAAGAAAGAAAGAAAGAAGGAAGGAAGGAAGGAAGGAAGGAAGGAAGGAAGGAAGGAAGGAAGAAAGTGACAGAACCTGAATTTGGTCCCAGCTGTGTCCAACCTCAAAGCCCTCACTCTTCACTAGGAGACAGCACTGCTGGGCCCGCCAGTCTCCTGTCCCCATCTGGTCCCTGCTTCCCATAGCCAGAACAGCCCTAGCACAGTATTTTGTGTTGAATGAATTAATGGGCTGGGCACAATGCCTTATGCCTTTAATCCCAACACTTTGGGAGGCTGAGGCAGGGGGATCACCTGAGGTCAGGAGTCGGAGACTACTAGCCTGGCCAACATGGTGAAACCCAGTCTCTACTAAAAACACAAAAATAGCCTGGCATGGTGGCAGATGCCTGTAATCCTAGCTATCGGGAGGCTGAGGTAGGAGAATCACTTGAACCTAGGAAGTAGAGGTTGCAGTGAGCCGAGATCGTGCCACTGCACTCCAGCCTGGGTGACAGAGCAACAAAGACTCTGTCTCAAAAAAAAAGCCAGGCGCAGTGGCTCATGCCTGTAATCCTACGCTTTTGGGAGGCTGAGACAGGTGGATCACCTGAGGTTGGGAATTTGAGGCCAGTCTGACCAACATGGAGAAACCCCATCTCTACTAAAAATACAAAATTAGCCAGGCGTGGTGGTGCATGCCTGTAATCCCGGCTACTTGGGAGGTTGAGGCAGGAGAATCGCTTGAACCCCAGAGGCGGAGGTTGCAGTGAGCCCAGATCGCACCATTGCACTGCAGCCTGGGCAACAAGAGCGAAACTCCGTCTCAAAAAAAATGAATGAATGAACAAACTAAATCCCATCTTCACACCCCATTCAGTGGCTTCATCTGAAAACGACTGCAGTTCTCGAGCCCTTCTGGGGAGGAGGCCATAGGTGGTGGAGCCTCTGTACCCCGCCTGAGCACCTGGAAGGAGCTGAGGAAGATCTCAAAGCCGAGCTTGGCGAAGCGCAGGGCTCCCTGGGCCTGTTCCTCGGTCACGGGAGCAAACACCACCTCGTGGACACCCAGTAGGGGCACCAGCGTTAGCGTGGAGCGAGCCAGCCTGGGGAGAGAGACAGCAGTGATCCCGCACGCAGTCCTGGTTTCCCATCTCGTACCCGGCCCCTTCCCCTCGGACCTCACCGCACGCCCTCACCTCAGCCGGTAATCCCGGCAGCGCATTTGCCTTGTCCTCAGCTTGGACAGGAGTATACCAAGAATGCGGATAAAAATGAGGAAATTAATCTGTGGGGAGAGATAGGGGCTGAGCCAGCCACGATCCCGTTCTGGAGGGGCAGGAGGTGGCACCCCACTTCCCAGAATGGGAAATCCCTGAGGACAGCCTGGTGGAGGTGGGACCAATCCTACCAAGATGGTCATGAGAATGGGGGTCCGTATGATCCACCAAATGGCCTTGACTTCATTGCGCTCCCAGCACCTGGGGAAGGCGGGGTAGAGCTAAGAGAAAAACCTCTAGGTTCACCGGATCACCAAGCTCATTTGCTCGCTAGGCCCGGCCCACTGCACTTGAGAACACACACACACACACACACACATTCCCTAGGGTCCCACCCATTACGATCCAGGTCCCACTCCCTCCCCTTGCCGGTTGCCCTCGAACACAGCCTTTCCTAGCTCCCCATTCCTTTGGACCCCCGCCCACGTCCCCCCAGCACCGAATAGCCTTCCGACCCTGCCTACGTTTCCATCACAACCCCGCCCATATCCCTCAAAGCCACGCCCACCTCCCAGGCCCCGCCCCCGCCCCTGCAACTCACTGCGTGTTCTCGTACAGGTACCTGACGATCACCCAGGGAATGACGAAAAGCGCGGGGGCCCCTGTGCAGACCCCGACCCCGCCCCCCCACCCCGCCGCAGCTGTCAGAGCGCGTAGGGGCCACGCCAGGCCCAAGACCCGCGGAATTCCTCTGTCGGGGGTTGGGGAGGCGGAAGCCTACAGACGGGGAGGAGACCCCCAGAGGCCAAACAGCTGGGCAGTTGGGGGAGCCGAGGAGAGGCGCGCTGGGTTGGGCGGGGGACGGGGTCGGGGCTCACCCCAGCCGAGGAGCAGGTAGCAGCGGAAGTGGCCCCCCTCGGAGCCGCCCACGAGCACCAGGAGACTGTGCAGGTAGACTCCCTCCACCAACAGCCACGTGTAGTTGGCACCCACGCAGTACTGGGTCACGATCTGAGCCGTGCGGCAGGCAGCGAGGGCCTAGGAAGCGGCCAGACCGGTAGACGGGTAGTCAGCGCTGCCTGGGTGTCTCCCCCAACCTTGATCACCCTCCACCCCATCTCTTGCCATCAAAGGTTCTTCCATCTGCGTCCCCAGTGTATGGTATCTGTGATTGGTTTCTCTCACCCTATTGCCTTTCCCTATATGGACTCTCCCACTCTGAACCCCTTAACAGTTGGTATCTGGCCAGGCGCAGTGTCTCACGTCTGTAATCACAGCACTAGGAGGCCAAGGCGGGCAGATCATCTGAAGGCAGGAGGTGGAGACCAGCCTGGCCAACATGGCAAAACCCCGTGTCTAGTAAAAATACAAAAATTAGCTGGGCGTCGGCCGGATGCAGTGGCTCACACCTGTAACCCAGCACTTTGAGAGGCAGCCTTAAGGCCTTTCACCTGAGGTTAAGAGTTCAAGACCAACCTGGCCAATATGGTGAAACCCTATCTCTACTAAAAATACAAAAAAATTAACTAGGTTTAAACCTCCAACTCCCCGGTTTAAACAATTCTCCTGTCTCAGCCTCCTGAGTAGCTGAGACTACAGGTGCATACCACCACGCCTGGCTAATTTTTCTATTTTTAGTAGAGATGGGGTTTCACCATATTGGTCAAGCTGATCTTGATCTCTTGACCTCATGATCTACCTGCCTTGGCCTCCCAAAATGCTGGGATTACAGTCACCATGCCTGGCCCTTCTTCTTCTTCTTTTGTTTTTTTGAGACAGGCTCTCAATCTTTTGCTGGATTGCACTGGCACCATCACAGCATCACAGCTCACTGCAGCCTCGACCTCCTGGACTCAAGTGATCCTGTTTTCTCAGCCTCTCAAGTAGCTGAGACTACAGGCACAGGCTGCCATGCCCTGCTAATTTCTGTATTTCTTTTGTAGAGATGGGGTTTAGCTATGCTGCCCAGTCTGGTCTCGAACAAGTGACCCGCCCACCTCAACCTCCCAAAGTTCTGGGATTACAGGTTTGAGCCACCCCCTGGCCATGATATGGCTTCCTTTTTTGTTTTTTGAGATGGAGTCTCGCACTGTCGCTGGGGCTGGAGTGAGTGCAGTGGCACAGTCTCAGCTCACTGTAACCTCTGCCTCCTGAGTTCAAGCAATTCTGCCTCGGCCTCCCGAGTAGCTGGGATTACAGGCCTGTGCCACCATGCCCAGCTAATTTTTTGTGTTTTTAGTAGAGACAGCGTTTCATTATGATGGCCAGGCTGGTCTCCAACTCCTGACCTCAGATGATCCACCCATCTTGGCCTCCCAAAGTGCTGGGATTGCAGGCATGAGCCACTGCCCGGCCACACTATGGCTTCTTAACAATTGGTAGGGTCCAGCTTGCGACCAGATAGTTCTTGCCATGTCTGCTCCCAGCCTCGAGTCTCTCCCACCCTGTCTCCTAGTAACAAACTGGCACCTACCACATCCTGCACCAGTTACTTTCTCCCATCCTGCCATGCCTCACCTCCAGCAGGTGGATCCTCTCATTGGTGAAAAAGTCCAATGATGGGTGAGATAATGAGGGAGAGGAATGGAAAATTCCATCACTGGGGTGATAGACTGGGAGATTTCAATGATGATGGAGGCTGAGTTGGGAGGGTCTCTCTCCAGATATGTCTTGGGGGGAGGGATCAAGACACATGTCGAGAGGGATCCTCCCAACTCTGATAAACTGTTGAGAGTGTATGAGGCAGGAAGTAGACTGAGAACTTCCTGGTCCCATCAGGGAAGCGAGATTCCCATGTGGAGGAACGGAAGGAGGATACCCACCTGGTTCCACAGTGCAGGGGCCTGGTCCCCAGGGTAGGGGCCGGGTTGAGGCAGTAGACGATCTCGGCTGAGAATAGCCGCCGCTCGCAGCATGAAAGACGCAAACAGGTTGATGTGGATGTAGTTTCTAGTGCAATGCAGCCGCCTAGGGGATTTGGAAGGCAGTTTGGGAGCCCCTGGAGAGCTGTATTCAGCCACACGGAGCTCTATTTCATTTTTTTAAACAGGGTCTCACTCTGTCACCCAGGCTGGAGTGCAGTGGCACAATCAGGGCTCACTGCAGCCTCAACCTGGGCTCAAGCCATCCTCCCGTCTCAGCACCCCACTGTAGCTGGGACCACAAGTGCACCACCACCATGCCCAGCTAACTTTTTATTTTTCATAGAGACAGGGTTTCACTATGTTGCCCAGGCTGGTCTCAAATTCCTGGGCTCAAGAGATCCTCCTGCCTTGGCCTCCCACAGTACTGGGATTAAGGCGTCAGCCCCTGCGCCCCGCCACACAGAAGTCCTTTAGCCACCCCCACTGTGCTCCTCATAGAAACACCAGTGGCTGCTTGGAGCTGCTGGAACCTGATCACCCCGTTTTACTAGACAAACTGACCCACTTCTCAGTGGTCCCTGCCGCCACCACTCAGGGTTAAGGTCCCACCTGAACAAAGTCAAGATGAGCAGGGCTAGCAGCAGTGTGGTGAGAGACAGGGAGTAGCCGACAGTGTACATGACCTGTAGCCGCTCCAAGATGAGCCTTTGGTCCTGGGGGGGGCAAGAAGCAGAGAAGAACAAGACTTGGCTCTTCCCCCGGGTCCAGAGAGAAATTGGAAGGACCTCAGCTCTTTGTTTCTGCCCAGACACCCTATTTTCTCTTGGGGAACTGCTGACTCTTATTTGAGAAGGGCTGAACCCAAGCTACTCAGCGTACCTCAAGTGGTCCACCCGCCTTGGCTACCCAAAGTGCTGGGATTACAGGAGTGAGCCTCTGCACCCAGTCAAATTAGAAAAAAAAAAATTAAGTAGAAATTTAAAAGTTGAATGACTGCCTGAATTATTTCCTTTCTTCCTTCCTTCCCTCATTCCCTCCCTCCTTCCTTTCTTCCTTCCTTCCCTCTCTCCCTCCCTCCTTCCTTTCTTTCTCTCTTCCTTCCTTTCTTTTCTTTCTTTTTTTGAGGCAAAGTCTCATTCTGTCACCCAGATGGGAGTGTAGAGATGTGATTAGGACTTATTGCAGTCTCTACTTCCCAGGCTTAAGTGATCCTCTTGCTTCATTTTTTGATTTTTTTCTAGAGATGAGGTTTTGCTATGTTGTATAGACTGGTCTCGAACTCCTGGGCTCAAGCAATCTTCTCGCCTTGGCTTTCTGAAGTGCTGGGATTCCAGTTGTGAGCCACAGCACCCGGCCATCTCATTCTTTTCCATCACAGAAGCCAATACATCTTTCTCTCTCTCTTTGAAGCAAGTCTGAGTTGAGTTTCTGTCACTTCTGTTTAGAACTTAGAGTTCTAAACAGTCCATGGGATTTCAGGCCCTGCCTTAGCTACTGCCTTTCCATCCCTCCCTGGACTCCTAACCTGAAGCCCTCACCTCCTCTTACCAGAAAGGCCTCATTCTTGTCTGGGTTCTCACATTGTGTATGATCTCTCCAAAGTCCCCACTGGCCATCACTGCCACACTGGCGGAGGACGACACCTTCAGCCACTGTGGGGAAATAAGAGAGGGGATTAAGGTACACAGAGAGAAATACAGAAAAACAAGCTGTGAGACAGTAGCAGAGAGGGGGAGAGCCGAAGTGATGATGATGATGGTGATGACGATGATAAATCAACCCTTATATGGCATGTTATGTATATTAATTTGATATTCATACAAGCCCATAAAATTGATAATATCCTTAACCCAGTTTTACACTTGGGAGAATTGAGATACAAAAAGTTAAGGCCGGGTGCGGTGGCTCAGCCTGTAATCCCAGCACTTTGGGAAGCCGAGGCCGGTGGATCACTTGAGGTCAGGAGTTCAAGACCAGCCTGGCAACATGGTGAAACCCCGTCTCTACTGAAAATACAAAAAAAAATTAGCCGGGTGTGGTGGCTCTGCGCCTGTAATCCCGGTTTCTCAGGAAGCTGAGACTGGAGAATCACTTGAACCGGGAGGCGGAGGTTTTGGTGAGCCGAGATGGCGCCACTGCACTCCAGCCCATGAGATAGAGCGAGACTCCGTCTCTAAATAAATAAATAGAGATAGGGAGACAGAGAAGTTGCGTTGTGTGAGAGAGGCCGGGTTGGACAGACGGGAGAAACCCAGCCTGCCGTCTGGGATAGGAGTAGGGCAAAGAGGAGCAGGAGAGGGATGCAGGTGAGCTGTGGGACCCGGATGTAGGTGTCTCGGGGCAAAGGTTAGCAGTTGTTTGTGTCTAGGGAGGGCTCCAGGCCCAGGCAGCACCTCACCGTGGCGGTACCAGGGCAGGTACCAGGGGCAGGACGCACGGGCAGTGGCGTTAGGTGCAGCATAGTCCCAGCAGACGTACATATCGAAGGACCCGTTACAGGAGAGGCCTGGGGGTGGGCAGGGGGGCCAGGTGCCCAGTGGACCCGCTGCGCAGTGGGCCAGGGCTTCCCGGCCCGCCACAGTCCAAGCCCGGGTCTAGCCCCGCCCACTCGGAGTGCATGTTGTCCCGGGTTGGCCACAAGCCCCTCCCACTAGCCTCAAAGCCACGCCCCCTCCCAGCCCCACTCGAGGCTCCTCCCACCAAACAAGTCACCGCCCCAGATCTTCCCACGCGGAGGGGCCCTACCCAGTCTCCATCCCAAACCACATCCCCTTCAAGGTCCATTTTAGTACAGGTCCCACCCAAGGCTCCTTCCATTTCAAGCTTCTTCCGAGGCTGCCCCTTGGAACCGTGGTCCCGCTCCAGTTCCCACAGCGCCCAGGTCAGCCCCCGGGCCTCTCCAGCCCACAGCACCCGAGATTTCTTCTTCACCTGTCAGCCCGAAGCCCCCCTCTAAGCCTACCCCTTTCAGCTTTGGGTCCTCCCTGCGTCCCCAGCCCTCTTGGTCACACCTGAGGGCGGTTCCGCGGCTGCCAGGGTCTCCTGGCACTCCTTGCGGTACCGTTTCCAGCGCTGGTATAACTCCCCCGCCGTCTGCCTCTCGGAGCCTGTCTAGGAAAAGAAAGAAGGGAGGACCCCCCAGACCGACCCCCGCCCCCGGGCTGCTTGGCCATGTGAGCCAGAAGCACCCCAGAGAGACTTCGAGGGGCTGTCCAGTTTTGCTCGGGAGTCTTGGGTGGTTTGGAACCAAGTTTCAAGTCTTGGGGCCTGGAAGCCACCGAATGGAGTGGCTATGGGAGACTGAAAACCTTCAAGAAAACTGGGGAAGGGGTGGCTGAAATTATCAGGAGGATTTGTTGGGGGAAGAAAAGGAAGTGGAAACAATCATCAAAACTTGAATCTGGGCCCCGACGTGGTGGCTCATGCCTGTAATCCCAGTACTTTGGGAGGCCGAGGTGGGTGGATCACTTGAGGCCAGGAGTTCGAGACCAGCCTGGCCAACATGGTGAGACCCCCGTCTCTACTAAAAATGCAAAAATTAGCTGGGCGTGGTGGTGGTGGCAGGCTCCTGTAGTCCCAACTACTCAGGAGGCTGAGGCCGGATAATCACTTGAACCCAGGAGATGGAGGCTGTAGTGAGCTGAGATGGCACCACTGCACCCTAGCCTGGGTGACAGAGTGAGACTCTGTCTCAAAAACAAAAAAGAAAACAAAACCCCACAACTTGAATCTGGGCAAGTGGGGCAGTCTTGAAACTCTCCTTGTGCTTTATTTTTTTATTTCTCTGAGATAGTCACACTCTTGTCACCCAGTCTGGAGTGCAGTGGTGTGATCTTGGCTCACTGCAACCTCTGCCTCCTGGGCTCAAACGATTCTCCTGCCTCCGCTTCCCCAGTAGCTGGGACTACAGGTGCGTGCCACTACACCTGGCTAATTTTTAAATTTTTAGTAGAGATGGGGTTTCACCATGTTGACCAGGCTGGTCTTAAACTCCTGACCTCAAGTGATCCACCTGCCTCGGCCTCCCAAGGTGCTGGGATTACAGGTATGAGCCCTAATTAGGGAAGCCCTAAAACCAACCATCCCCAGACTTCCCTCCAAGCCTGGAGCTCCTCTGGCTCCTCGGGTCCTCACCTCCGCCCTCCGTAGCAGCAGCCCCCACAGCAAGAGCCGCAGCAGCAGCTGCAGGGTAGGAGAGGTAGTCATCGGGAGGGTGATGAAGGGTCTGGTTGGCGCAGGGTCGATCAGGCCTGGAGGGTCCCAGGGCAGGGTGAGCGCCTCAGCCTTCCGCCCTCTGACTCCATCCCCAGCGTCACCCAGCCTCAGGGATTTACATATGCAGACTCCCAGGCAGCTCGTCCCCCCATCATTCCCTCACACCCCCTAACCCCCCCCAACAACTCCCAGGTGTGATGATCTGGGGGGAGGGAGAGGCATGCGGAGTGGGTGGGACTCGGTGGTGGGCAGGGCCCCTTAAGTGATTCCCAGGCCGCCCTTGACGGTTGCTCGGGCAGCGAAGGTGGAAGGGGGGTGTTTGCTGAGCGGGCGGTTGCCCTAGAGCTACGCTGGGCGGAAGCGTCAGTGTCACCGGGAGTCTGGACCTACAGACTCCTGGGAACCCAGGGACTGCCTTGGAGAAGAGAGAGTAGAAACCATCAGCCTAGCCCCCTTTTATATGGGGGACTGAAAAACTCGAAGATTTTCAGTTCCTCCTAGTGGGGTGCTTGAAACGACCACCTGAGTTCCCCAGCCTGGTGGAGAACTTGAAATGCCTTTCCAGGTTCCCTCTCCAAGCCCAAAGGGTTTTGTAGCACAGATAGGAAGCCAACCTTATAAAACTTTCCCCGGTGGGGGCAGATAAAGCCCAAGGAAGTGGGACAAGCCTTTCCCAGCACCCAAATACTCAGGGACGGGAAAGGCGACAGATCCGGGGTTAGGTGTGTGCAGATGCCTGGAAAGCCGTCTATGTAACGCCCACCGCCCACCACCCACCCACCCACCCACCCGTGCCCCCGCAACTCCACGTAGAGAAAGAGGGAAGCAGAGAGGATCTCAGATCCAACCCCAGACAACGGCGTCACAGACACAAGCGACAGAAATATAAAGACCGAGAGGCACAGAGACTGAGGGACAGAATGAGATCCCCGGACAGAGACCAGAGACCAAGAAACAGAGAGACACAGATGTGGGCTAGAAGACAAAGAGGAGGGAGAGAAGTGCAGGGAGACAGCAAGGGGGAAAGAGGGTATCTCAGCTCAGCAGAGATGAAGACACACAGAGACATCAAGAGACAGAGATGAGCAGAGACTGTGGTGGGCACAGAGACAGAGACAAAGGCAGGGCAGAGAAGCAGAGGAGGAGAGTCCCAGAGACTTGAGGGGTGGAGGGGGGCAGGAGGAATGGGCTGGGACTGGGGAGCCCTCACCTGTCCCCAGTCCTGCTCCTGGTCCCTTGCTCCCGCAGCCCCTGCCACCGCTGCCTCCACTGTCTCATCTGGGCTCCGGGAGAGGTGACAGGCGCAGGCAGCCCGGGGTGGTGGGAGGGGGCGGGGCCAAGGCGGACGGGGAACGGAAGTGGGGAGCTCTGGGGCAGAGAGCTGAGCAGGGGGCAGTCATCAAGGTCATGAGGGAGGGCAGTTACTGAATTGTTCTTATCGTCCTGAGGACCCCTGTACCAAGTGTGCACAATCTCTCATGCTGTCCCACCCACAGGTCCCCCCCACCCAGTCACTCATTCCCAGAGCCTCACTCACTCAATCAAAACATGCAGTGTCACACAATCCCATAGGCTGAGCCGTGGAGAGGCACAGTCACAGAATCTCACAAACTGTTACTCACACAGCCGCAAGTTCAGTCACAGCCCTACAGTCCCATGGTCACACCCAGAGAGCCACAGCTCCTCACTCACAGGCAGACAGTCATCCATAGTGACACAGCCACATGCCCAGGGCCATGGACTCCCACACACAGTCACACTCACAGTGTCCCAAGTTCCAACAACACTCGATCACACGCAGATTCGCGCAGCCACTGAGTTTCGTCACAAACACTGTTGCCCTGCTAGCCTGTGAGACCTGAGAGGGCAGAGCCAGGACATCTGGGTCACCACTGGGTCCCCAGAATCATTCAGAGCAGGGGTTCAAGGAAGAATGGTCATGAAATAAATATGTGTAGTATGCAGTTGTCTGGTTACTCGCAGACATATCATTTTGTTTTGTATTTTTTGAGACAGAATCTCTCTCTGTCGCCCAGGCTGGAGTGCAGTGGCACAATCTCAGCTCACTGAAACCTCTGCCTCCCAGGTTCAAGCGATTTTCCTGCATCTCAAGCGATTTTCCTGCATCAGCTTCCTGAGCAGCAGGGACCACAGGTGTGTGCCACCACACCCAGGTAATTTTTGTATTTTTGGTTGAGACAGGGTTTCACTGTGTTGCCCAAGCTAGTCTGGGCAAGATGAGGAAACCTCCTGACCTCAGGTATCCACCTGCCTCGGCCTCCCAAAATGCTGTGATTATAGGCCACAGCCACTGCATCCGGCCCATACAATCCTTTTTTAATTAAATTAATTTATTTATTTACAAGAGTGGAGGGCACTGGCACAATTATAGCTCACTAGAGCCTCCACTTCCTGGGCTCAAGGGATCCTTCCACCTCAGCCTCTCCAGTAGCTGAGATTACAGGCATGAGGCACCCTGCCCGGCTAATTTTTTTGGTATTTTTAGTAGAGATGGGGTTTCACCATGTTGACCAGGGTGTTCTCCAATTCCTGGCTTCAGATGATCCTCCTGCCTTGGCCTCCCAGAGGGCTGGGATTACAGGCATGAGCCACCATGCCCCACCCATTTAAAAAAAAATGTCTATATCATACAATCTTTTTTTTTTTTTTAGAGATAGAGTCTTGCTCTGTCTCCAGGCTGGAGTGCAGAGGTGTGATCTTGGCTCACTGCAAAATCTGCCTCCCAGGTTCAAGTGATTCTCCTGCCTCAGCCTCCCAAGTAGCTGGGATTACAGGTGCCCGCCACCAGGCCCAGCTAATTTTTGTATTTTTTGTAGAGACAGAGTTTCACCATGTTGGCCAGGATTGCCTCAATCTCTTGACCTCGTGATCCACCCTCCTTGGCCAAAGTGCTGGGATTACAGGCATGAACCACGGTGCCCAGCCATACAATCTTTTTATGACACAAGCTGAAAGTCACACACAATGTCATGCGACCTCACCCATTAATGCTCTTACACATTCACACACTTCACAGTCACCCACAGAGTCTCAGTCACATTCTAACAACACACATTCCCCAACTGTCATGAGGCACACACTCTCACACCGTCACCCTCACCCCCACAGTCACACTGAGTGACACGGTCACACAGACTCACAGCTCTCCCTTCGTCTCACCCTCATTCACAAGTCACATCCAGTCACATACGTGTCACATACACAACCTCACTATCCCCCAACTGTACATGCCACACAGTCACACTCGTCACACCCTCAGTCCCACCTCCCACAGTCATGCAGTCACACAGGTGCACACAGGGTCACACACACCATCATCTCACATTCACACACTAACCTGTAGCCTCACATGGTCCCATGGTCACAGTCACCAGTGAATCACACACACTCTCTGCCGTCTCATCCTTTGCCCTAAATATGGGGAATGTCTGTACGTGACTGGGGGTGGAGGACAGGCTCAGAGCCCAGTCCCTGCTCCCAGCGCCCTCATCTCCTGTTAATACAAACTACCAATTCCTGCACATTAATCAGACAATGGACATTCATGATCACGCCCTCCCCTGGGACTCTAAGTGGGACAGAGGCGAGTCTGCCCATTTTGGAGAGGAGAAATGGAGGCCCAGAGGCCCCAGGAGGGACAGGGAGTGAGTGTTGGCATGAGGTCTGCAACAGAGGCTGCAGGAGAGAAGTCTGGGGGGAGGCGAGGGTCCTGGCTTCCTGGCCTTGGGCTGCCTCCCTGCTCTCTGCCCCACATTCCTGGCGCCCTCTGGGTCCTGGGAAAGGCTTCTGCCCTGGAGTGAAGAGGGAAGGGGGTCTGAGATTCCCCTGGCACCTTGAGAGAAGTTAGGGTTGGAGGTTGGGAGTCTCTCCTTGGCCCCCAGAGGGCCTGCAGTCACTCCACAGAGGAAGGCAGTGAGGGCTGGGGAGGCTGGAGACGGGGAAGGGAGAGGGAAACAGTGGAGAGCAAATGAGCTGGCAGTGTGAGACAGGAAAAGCTCACGTGGTGGCTCACGCCTGTAATACCAGCACTTTGGGCGGCCGAGATGGGAGGATCACTTAAGCTCGGGAGTTGAAGACCAACCTGAGCAACATAGTGAGACCCCATCTCTTAAAAAAATTTTTCTTTTTTCAGTTTTCCAATTTTTTTTTTTTTTTTTTTTTTGAGATGGAGTCTCCATCTGTCACCTGAGCTGGAGTGCAGTGGCGCCATCTCAGCTCACTGCAACCTCTGCCTCCCGAGTTCAAGCAATTCTCCTGTCTCTGCCTCCCAAGTAGCTGGAACTATAGGTGCCTGCCACCACACCTGGCTAATTTTCTTTGAATTTTAGTAGAGACGGGGTTTCACCATATTGACCAGATTGATCTTGAACTCCTGACCTCGTGATGTGCCTGCCTTAGCCTCCCGAAGTGCTGGGATTACAGGCATGAGCCACTGCACCCAGTCAGTTTTTTTTTTAAATTTACATTCTGGGATACACATGCTGAATCTTCAGGTTTGTTACATAGGTACACATGTGCCATGGGGGTTTGCTGCACCTCTTAACCCATCATCTAGCTTTAAAATTTTTTCTTTTTTTTTTGAGATGGATTTTAGAACTTGTTGCCCAGGCTGGAGTGCAGTGGCGTGATCTTGGCTCACCACGACCTCTGCCTCCCTGGTTCAAGTGACTCTCCTGCCTCAGCCTCCCAAGTAGCTGGGATCACAGGCGTGCACCACGACACCCAGCTAATTTTTTTGTATTTTCAGTAGAGATGGGGTTTCACCATGTTGCCCAGGCTGGTCTTGAACTCCTGACCTCAGCTGATCTGCCCTCCTCGGCCTCCCAAAGTGCTGGGATTACAGGTGCTCCCAGCCAAAATAATTTTTTTTTTTTTCGAGACAGAGTCTTGCTCTGTCGCCCAGGGTTGCTCACTGCAACCTCCACCTCCCAGGTTGAAGCAATTCTCTTGCCTCAACCTGCCGAGTAGCTGGGACTACAGGCACATGCCACCATGCCTGAATAGTTTTTTTGTATTTTTGGTAGAGTCAGGGTTTCACCATGTTAGTCAGGCTAGTCTCAAACTCCTGACCTCAGGTGACCCACCCATCTCAGTCTCCCAGAATGCTGGGATTATAGGCACGAGCCACTGCGCCTGACCAAAATATATTTTTTTAAATTAGTCAGGCATGGTGGTGGTGTGCCTGTGGTCCCAGCTACGTGGATGGCTGAGGCAGGATTGCTTGAGGTCAGGAAATTGAGGCTATAGTGAGCTGTGACGATCACGCCGCTGTGCTCCACATGGGTGATAGAGTGTGAGATCCTGTCTCAAAAGAAAAAAAAGAAAGGAAAGAAAAAATAAACCAAGAACCAAGAAAGCTAGAGTGGGAGACAGATAAATATAAGAAGAGAAAGACCGGGAGAGAGAGAAATATAGAAAAAACGGAGAGAGAGAGACAGACAGAAACAGAAGAACACACACAGAGACAAACAGATAACACAGATAAGAGGAGGTGGGGAGAGAAGCCAAGAAAGAAAACAGGGACCAAAAGCTGGAAAGAGACAGAGGCACAGTGGCTCACGCCTGTAATCCCAGAATCCTGGGAGACTGAAGGGGCCGATCACCTGAGGTCAGGGGTTCGAGACCAGCCTAGCCAACATGACGACAGCTCGGCTCTACTAAAAATACAAAAATTAGCCAGGCATGACAGAGCACACCTGTAGTCCCTGCTACTCAGGAGGCTGAGGCAGGAGAATCGCTTGAACCCGAGAGGTGAGATTGTGCCACTGCACTCCAGCCTGGGTGATAGAGACAGACTCTGTCTCAAAAAAAAAAATAAAATAAATGAAAGTAAAGGAACTGCAAGATGGAGACTGAGTGAGGATTGCTTGAGCCCGGGGAGGGGGTGGAGGCTGCAGTGAGCTGTGATCCAGCCATTGTACTCCAGCCGGGCAACAGAGGGAGACCCTGTCTCAAAAGAAAAGAAAAAAAAAAAATAAGAAGAGACCGGGCACGGTGGCTCACACCTATAATCCCGGCACTTTGGGAGATCGAGGCATGTGGATCACCTGAGGTCAGGAGTTCGAGACTGGCCAACATGGTGCAACCCTGTCTCTACTAAAATACAAAAATTAGCCTGTAATCCCAGCTACTTGGGAGGTTGAGGCTGGAGAATCACTTGAACTCAGGAGGTGGAGGTTGCAGTGAGCTGAGATCCTGCCACCACACTCCAGCCTGGGTAACAGAGTGAGACTTCATTCAAAAAAAAAAGAAGTAAGGAGAGATTCGGAGGGAGAGCCTGAAAGATGAGCCCCAAGGAGACAGCTAACTCCTCACCCCTC